AGTAAAATAGCTTTATAACATGAAAACGACAGATATTGAATTGTTTCTGGCTTAACAGTCTTTTAGATCTCTGCAGAGACTGCATAATGTATACTATAAAATATATTGGTTTATTTAAGCCCTGACATGCTTTTGTTGTTCAGCTTTTTTATGTATAAGGCTGAACTTCATTTTAGAGTAGTAGTTACCACCCTGCTTCAAAACTCTGTTTACACTTGGGATCGTTTCAGTTCTTATTTTAGTTCTTACTTTTTTTTGTGCCACATTTGCACATGGTGTTTAAAAAGAATCCAACACCTGCACTTGCAGCATTGTTGTGCTACACTTATTGATAATTAAATAAAAATAGATTAATACAATTAACTGTATTTGCACATTATCACATCTATCATTTGTTTTGTACTTACACTTGATGCACTGTAAACATTGGCAGACTTTAAATCATCCTGGATAAGGCCATCTGCTATGCAAATAATCATGATCATTTTCATGTACTGTACAAACTTTCATATTCTGTTATAATCAAATTTTGTGATGAGACATTTTAGTTCTTCATGTTATTTAATATGACCAACAACTACTCACAAAGAACAGAGAATCATGAATAACTGTATAGCCAGCAAAAAGCAATAAATAATTTACTGGAACAATCTGCTTTTCTAAAGCTAGTATTCTAGTGAAGTAACCATGTCACTGTCCGTAGGACTAAACACTGTGGACTGTTTAATTTTAATAATAAAGTTATTGCACTTTATTATTTTTATTTGGCCATCCATCGTCAGAATAGCCACTTTTTCTCAGTAACGGTCACGGGAACCAGGAGCCTATCCCAGCAGGATATGGAGCAAGACAGTATTACACCTTGCGAAAATGACAGGATCCCAGCGAAACACCCCTCAAACATAAGAAGAGCAAGCCAAATTCACATAGACGCCATACTGTTATAGAACTGGACCACGAATCATATTGGCATCTACTGGCAATAAAAATAATACTTTTGACTTTACAATGAACTAAACACTTTACTTAAAGCTTCATTCAAGGATATTCATATTAGGTTTGAGTTTTAAATGTTAACACTTGAAGGAAATCCTATTAAATTATTTTGTATGTTCACTTTGAACATAAACATAGTGTAAAAGGCTTTTTAAAACCTTGTCTTAAAAGCAAAACTCATTTGTGAAACATTCCTCCTTCTGACATCTTTTTCCAATTAAGCTAGACTGGGGAGCTGCATCAGTGTGCAGAGGAACACAAGGAGGTAAATTCCAGTAGGAAACAGATTCACATCTCCTTTTACACCTTATCACCCTCTTTCCCATTCACATCTCAAGGGGCTCTGAGCAGTAATCATTTTTGACTGATGACTCCAACACTAAATAGTTTTCTTTCCTCAGAAAAGTTAATAAAGTAGTTATACTCAAAATCACAAAGGTCTTTGTTATAGTTTATTAAAGTTAATAGCTTTGAGATCTGTGTTTTTCCCCACTGCCACCTAGTGGCATCAGATTTTCATCAATTGCAAATTTAAATGTAAAAAAAAACATGTACTGGAGTTTTAATGCATGGGACTTTTAAACATTTGTATAATATATTTATTGTGGATTTGATACACCACAACTCTGTTTGAAAACATGCTTGTCTGAAAACATTTCAACATTACTTAACACTATTATTTAACACTACAGTAGATTTAGTATTTCTGAAAGATGTATAATATTTTTTAACCATTCCATACATTCCTGTGTTACAAGGCATATGACAAAAGGTTTCAGAAACACTCTATGAAGCAGTATTTTCATAAAAAAAGGCAATTACCTAAAATATGAATTATGCAATGTTCTAAATCTGAGGGAAAAAAAAAGGCCTTTCGTCTGAATAAGGTCAAAATGACTCAATGAATCAACATGTCCAATTGTTAGACTAGAGGTCCCCCTACAGGACACTGGCATGATGGCACGTCTCACATAATTCTCCCATGCCATGCTGTATCCTACTGGAGCAAATGTGGAAAAACTCAGAGCACTTCTAGAAATCCAGGACACGGTGATGTTTTAGCTTTTATTACGCAAATATAAAAACAAAAAATGTTTAGGCCTTAAATTTTTAACGTACACCTTCTGCTGAACAAGACAGACTGTTATACGTACTGCATTTTACATTCGGCAGAGTATGTAATCGTACATGAAGGCAAACATTACATTGCTCTACATTGCGGGAGTACACAACTAGTACTTCATGGTGATCATTCCACCTAAGCTCTTAACTATCTACCTCAGCTAATTACTAACTTGTCTGGATCAATTCTGTACCTCTCCTCCATTCTTCAGATATGCTAGCATTAGAAAGTGACCTGTAAGACCTTCCAGATTGCAGCCTCTCAGCACTAAAGCTGTGCAACGCAGCTACAGTAGCAAGAAAGAAGGACACAGCATTTAGCCTATTTTAGCCTAGTCCAATATACTAATTAAGATCGCTACTTGCAGTATTAGAACAGTATTTAAAAATAGATGTACACAGTAAATTCTGATTCTGTGATTTACAGAATATGTGACTGCCAAGCTCCTTTTTTAAAACACAAACTCACTTCATGGTCAAACAACTTACCATGTCTAAAACGTAGTGCACTCAGAAATTCAGGTGATTTTCTGCCACTCACAGAAACTGGCCTTCATATTTGAAACCAGGCATATTTGATGACAATCCAAGGGACTCCAGAGTCCCACTTACAGTATAATGGCAAGAGATAGACACACAGGTTTCATCTAATTAAGAGTCTGCAAACACTTCTTTTAACCCAAAAATAAACACACAGCACCACAATACGTCTTCTGTCTACTAAACTCAATTGTGCTCCTGCTAGGGCATTTTACACTGTAATGCAAACAACGTTTTTGTGTCACCAGAACATTTATCACCCATGAAAGTCAGTTTAAAACAATCAGCTTTTGGAAACAGAAGTTAGAATCAACAGCAACTTGTACCAATATCAGCTGCAACATGGTATTGCACAATATAAAAACTGCTAACTGAGAAATCATGGAGAAGTAAATCTTTTCAGGGATTTCCAGACATTAAATGACAGATATAATTTAAAAGTAACAAAATAAAATTAAGTTTTTGTTTCATTGTTAATCTCTGTATTGTCATGCTAAAAGCAGAGGTCAACAGAAAGTTTCTTAAGAGTTTTAATTGTAATTGCATTGATTATTTTATATGGTGACTTTGCATTTATACATAATACATAAATTAAGTATTATGGAGAATAGTTGGTTTTGTACAGCAGAACTGTACAATTGATTGATTGATTTACCCTAGCAGCCATATCACCCTACGACTCACAACTGGCACCCCACTGAAGCTCAGGAGGTGTGAGTCTGGTCAGTACCTGGATGGGAGACCTCCTGGGAAAAACTAAGGTTGCTGCTGGAAGAGATGTTAGTGGGGCCAGCAGGGGGCGCTCACCCCCTCATGTGGGTCCTTATGCCCCAGTGTAGTGACGGGGACACTGCACTGTAAACAGGCGCCGTCCTTCGGATGAGACGTAAAACTGAGGTCCTGACTCTCTGTGGTCATTACAAATCCCAGGGCACTTCTCGAAAAGAGTAGGGGTGTAACCCCGGTGTCCTGGCCAAATTTCCCATTGGCCCTTACCAATCATGGCCTCCTAATAATCCCCCTCTATGAATTGGCTTCATTACTCTGCTCTCCCCACTGATAGCTGATGTGTGGTGAGCGTTCTGGCGCACTATGGCTGCCGTCACATCATCCAGGTGGGGCTGCACATTGGTGGTGGTGGAGGGGAATCCCCATTACCTGTAAAGCGCTTTGAGTGGAGTGTCCAGAAAAGCGCTATATAAGTGTAAAACTATTAATCATATGTTGGATATAAATGAATGGCAAACTCATTTTACTCCATTTAAAATGTTCAAATATCTTAATCCATAACATCTCATAAATTAACCAATCTCAACAAATAAAATGAAGTCTTGAGTTCTCTATTTCTCATCTTAATCCCCTCCCCCCCATCATAAATGACTGTGAAATTGACATAAACTTAAATTGCAAAAGAGAGAAGAGGAATATTTTGAGGTTAGCATGTTACTGTCATGTAATGCCTTTTTAAACTACATGTGTCTTTCAGTTCAATGGGTAAAGGGAAATATTTTTTAAAACTCCCTTGATCCTTATACCCCTAATCACAATGGAAATACTGTGAACTGTAATATCAGAACTGGGAAACTCCAGTCTTTGACATTTGCCACACCATCCTCATAAATGATCTTAACTATCCAATTGAATTAATAATTTAATAAGACATTAGCCCGGGCTTTTATACTTAAATTAATTCAAAATCAAGACCTCATTCTAATATATTAATTGGAGAGGAATTCTTCATGTGGAATTTGATTTGGTGTAGTCAATTAAACAGGGCTGCTGTTATAAAACACCGGGGTGAGCATGGTAGCCTGTTTGGGCTGTATGAGCTATGCAGTAAGGGATTAGGTTGTCTTTTGGCTGTAAGAGTCTTGTTCTTGAGCTGCATGTTTGTTTTTTCTTCTGAGGCCAGTTCCTGCTCCCCTTCTTTGGAAGTGGCTTTAGAACCACTCCAATCCTCACTCTTGAAGGTGGCAATCCAGCAGAGTTTAGGGTCAGCCCGTTTGGAACTGGGAAAGGGATAGTAAACTGCTATACTGTACATCCAGCCAGCAACTAGGGAAAAGCCCATGATGTTCTGTGTCTATTCTTCAATATGCAAACCTTCCGATCTGCTCTGGTGTGGTATGTCAATGAAACCAGTACCTCAGTTTGATGTACTGATGTCCAATCAGTCAGATTTGCCCAGGAATGCATTGGGAAGGCCGTGGTTTGAGCAGCCTTGATGTAATCTCTGCTTATCTGATCTCTAAGAGTGCTTGGAACTACTACATCCTTTTCTTAATTGAAAGATGCAACAAATTAGCTGCCCCACTGAATCGTAAAACTAGGCAGCAATTTACCTTCTGGTGGTTCGTCTCTCAGGTACGGTGGGAGCTGTTCGGTGTTTGAGTTCTCTGATGAGCCCAGGTCCTCCACAGTCTCAGAGTCTGTGTTGGGTCCCTGTCAATAAAAGAATGAAATTTTTGTTCCTTTCAGACGCATACTAATAAGTTCATGTTAAATGAAAACTGTCTTCCAGATACATCTTTTGTTTCTAATACCTCATCTACTAATTAAATTTTTGGAAATTTAAGGTTTGCAAGTAAACAATCATGGCTGTCTACATCTAAAGTGCTATACAGTTAATTCAGATCAAAGTAATTTTTGTACCCAAACTAATTCTGCATGTTAATAAGCAGGGATAAAATACTGGATCTTGCTATTAAATGACCATTTTAATAAGATAGGTATGTTAAATACTTTATTGAAAATAAAGCCTGACGCTTTTATCCGAAGTACTCCAGTTATATTCAGGTTAAACTGTGCATCTTACTGGGGCAATCTGAGCGAAATATCTAGCACAATGATATCGGCAACGTCACCTTGATTAAGATGTAACCCTTAAATGTCTTAACTATTTGTAATTCCATTTTAAAATGAGCGAAGCACAAGAAACTAAAAATTGCAGCTTTAAAACTTCCCACATGATTGTTCTTAGTGCTGTCATTTGCAAAAGAAACAAAGTAGCAAAACGAGTTGCGTACTGTACTGTTCACAGTATAGTTTATCGTAATATAAAAAAACAGTTCATTAAAGTATACAAAAAGCACGTGCCTTGGTATTAAATGGGACATAACACTTAAAAGATTTAATTGCCAGTATCGGCTTTTACCACGGATCATTTAATTCATACTTTCCCTGGAAAATCACCCTTTCTAAGAAAGACACTACGCACGACGACCGGTTTGTTTTTAATACGTCACAAAACACTCCATACGATAAGCAGCCTCGGAAGTATTCATAATAACACATGATTTCGGCCTTAGTATTGGACAGTGATGTGCAAACAATTACAGCCAGCTAGATAACGAAAACAAAACCGCCCCCCACTCACCTTCATTGCTGCAACAATTACAGATGCGTACTTATAGCTCCGAAGGCTTGTTTAAAAATAATACTGGGTCCACATAAACCCCTGTTTTAATTATCAGAACAGAATTAATTGCATTAGTTTATTAAGCCCTTAAACAGCTGCAGTATGTTTTCTGCGTAAATGTAACAGGAAGTGACGTTTGAATGTTTATATTGAATTTGGCTAACGTTGCTATTACAACTTGTTGGCCACAAGAGGGAGCCAATGCTTTAACTGATGAAGCACGTATTGTGTCCATCATATTTTTTTTAATCTTCTGAAAGAATGTGCATGAAGATACAATTTGTGGTTTGAGTCATAAGACACATGTATTGGCCGATGTTTTCACTTATGACAAGGGAGATTTGATCGTGCTGTAATGTAAAGAGGCCTTTTCTCTTTATGAAAGGACTTGTCACATTTTAAAATGTGCAAGTGAGCAATTTCTAAAAGATACTCCATGCTGAAAGAGGAGAAACAAAACATAACGTTTCGGCTGTGGAGCCTTTTTCGGGTGTAAAAAGAGAAGTAAGGAAACACAACGTTTTGGCTGTGGAGCCTATTTTCTTCTCTTTTCAGCATGGAATAAACCTTTACTTGCTCCTTTACAGCCTACACATGCTGACACAGCTACAGTACCAACCTGAACTATTTCTAAAAGACATTGCAATAAGATATGACATGACTTTGTATGAGCAGTTTTAATACATACTCTTCATACAGTGCCATAAAACATGAACCTCAGTCTTTATTGTGTTACTTATTTCATTGCTGTAATTTCAAAATATAAACTAATGTCCTATACTTAACTTTCTCCAGTTTACATGAAAATGAATTATGGACATTTTATGGACATTGGTTTAGTACTCCTTAAATAAATAAATAAACATTGTATATGAATTTCCTTTTAGAACTCTTTTAGAAAATCAGAAGGAGAATTATTAAAAATGAATAAACTATAATTCTCTTTAAAAATTATAAACTTCAGGTGATGTTTTTTGGGGGAAAAGTGAAAAGTGAAAGGGATGTGAGTTGAGCATTGTTTTGAAAATAAATACAGTACTGAATTACTGTATGTAAGCATTCTATACTGTATTCCTCTCATGCTTATTTTATTGAGCTCACCAATTAAATTATAATTTAATCATATAAATCTGAGATAAAGGTAGAACTACATTTTAATTAACCTAAAAGGTCTTCACAAATATTTTTAAATATGAACACAGTGTATTTTTAAACATGAACACATTAATTCAGGTGTTGAATACAGAACATTTCTATTGTTTGTGTTTCCACATGCTATTTAACAGAGGTCTAGGGCAGACTGACCATAACATTTAAAGTTGACACACTAATGTTAAGTAAGGTAAAGGATGCTTTTACCTTAATTGTTCCGTAGCTAATGAAAAGATCAAGGCCAGTGTACCACATGCAGTAGAATACAAGTGGATAAAAATGATTTGGACTATACTGAAACATTACAGAACACATCATCAGAAAGGACAGCTGTATTCTGACCTAAATACTGCCCATTAATCAGCACACTGATTTCTGTTGTCCTCAGGAAATTATTTAAGAATAAAACAATATCCACAGTGATGCAGTAAATTATTACTGCATTAGTTTTGAGTAATAAACATAACATGAATTGTTAGCCTGTTACAACATAGTCTATTTTAAGTCCGGTAATGAGTTTAAAACTGTTCCTGCTTATGGTTAACTAAGGTGGCTAGCACGATGCCAGTAACCTCGACTGGCCTATGGTTCAGAAATAACTAAGACAGCTTCATTCAAGAGGTCTTCTCTTTTTTATCACATTTACCAGTTCACCTTGCTAAATCCCTGTGGTCACTTAACCATTTTTTCATACATAAATATGGAGTATTTATGAAGTTGACTGTCCTATTAGAACAATATTATCCTTAAAACTGTTTACTGGAAAGCAATGAAATGTAACACAGTGAACAAATGGAGTGCAGGTAGGTAAATGAGACACACAGTATAAGTGGGACCACGGGTAACACATTCACTACAAGGCATGAAGTGCATTCTTAGGGTACAAACATTTGTGATCAATAGTAATGTGCATGGCTTTGTAATCCATGAGTTTGTTTTTCTGATCTCATTTATATTTAGGCCAATCATGCATTATATTGTTTTCATGGTACAGAGTTCTGATTATATATGCCTACTGTATAAACTTTAGAATCATCCTGTACAATTCATATTATATTTAAATTTTTGTATTATTTAATATGCACATTTATCTAATTTGTAGTACAAGGAAATGTGTACTTGTCATCATATGAAAGACAAAACCTAATTAATTTTTTTAATCTATATTTACTCAGAAACAGAGTAAATACCATCAAGACCTTCTGATCGTGGACTGTAGACTAAGAAATACAGTTAAGTACTGTGTCTCTTAAAGAGAAATGGGTGCTACACTTATGCCTTTAAGTGCCCCTTGAAACGACTGAAGAATTCAATTCCAGCTCAGAAAATAATTTATTTTAAAGGGGTATGGGTTCAGCTTTAGCAAAGCAATCCTCTTATAACAGATTCTTTGCATTAACTAAGCATACAGAAGCAGGCTGAAAAAGTAAGTGTAATTGCTGTCCACTGTAAGAACATATCTTTCTACTGTATCTGTTCTTTATCGTAAAAGGCTGTTATCTTTGTGGGAGTTATCAGTTTGTTTTTTATGGACACCATATTTTTTCTTACTTTAATTAGACTCAATCTATGTTAAAATCATTGAACAAGAAAGCAGCATCTTATGCAGACTAGAGTTGTATGTGAAATTAAAAAAAAACAGTTTAGGTAGATGTGATTAGGGGCTCTGTTATAGAGGGTCAGATGATTAAAATGATTAAAATGCTGATTAAAATAGCATAATTTCTGAATTCATGAATGTACGTAAAAGTTGCATGCATGCTTTTTTCCAGTTATTATAATCACAGCAAATCCCATCTAGTAAATTCATATTATTCTCAGCTTGCAGTTCCAGACAGTTGGTTTAACATAAATAGATGTTTTTAGGAGGAAGAATTTCAGTATGCACAATTATTGGTACAATTATTGTACCTCCTGTTCAACACAATAATTTCCCAATATTTCTCCAGTAGACAGATGAACAGACTCTTGGATATGATAGAACATCTCTTTATTTAGGCTCTGTACATAAGACATGAGAAAGCAAGACTAAGATCGATACTTAGTTTTGCCACTCATTGCTTTGTAAGTGTTACAAATGTGCTTTCACAATCAGTCTTCTGGTGTGTCTTCTGTGGGGTAGCTTACACAGGTTTAAGGAGGTTTGTGACTCATTACTAGTGATATAAAGCCTGATTGGTACAGTGAGTGCCCTTATATTTCATTGTTATGCCCTGTACAGACAGCAAGTATGTTAATTTATTCAATTACTCTCACTGTTGCACTAATTGGTCACGGATTTTGCGGGATCTCAACTCCTTGCATTACTCCACATATTAATTTTGCAAAGAAAGGTTAATCAGAGTCTAAAATAATCAGCTGGCAGCCTATTAGCTTAGCAAATCTTGGTTCAAAATGCACTGTCCACACAATGTAATGTGTGCTATGCAGGGACATCTCAATCAAGATACAACTATGAAAAAATAACATTTAAAAAAATCATCTTAAAAACATCTTGTATAAGAAAGATATATAATTATGTGAATTTCTTTCTTAAATTTATTTTTGTTTTTCCTCATCTCAAACTGGTACTCCTGATATTTGTCGTATCACTTAGCTCTCCTATTACAAGACAGATGACCTCAAGTGGACTTTCAATTAATCTAAAAATATACCATCTGCAGTACTAACCTTAATGTCTTCAACCTAATTACCTGCCGTATATAAACCTTGTATACACTACGTGCCCAACAGAGCACTTGGCAAGTCTGCCTGAAAAGCCTGGAAGATCAGCCTGCCGTTTGCCGCTTCAGTATCATAGAAGCTGGTTTCAGCACCGCGGACAGCTCTACTGGTGATGGAGCAACCACAGTGCTCTATCAAAATGAAAACAGAAGAAATCGATGTGGCGGAGCTGCAGGAAATGTACAAGAAGTTTGTAGTGGAATGTCCGAGCGGGACATTGTTCTTACACGAATTCAAGAGGTTTTTCGGCATTAACCCGAACTGTGATGCTTCGGAATACGCAGACAGTATGTTCAGAGCCTTCGACAAAAATGGGGTGAGAAAAGACGCCTTTTAAAAAAACAACTTTTGCGACTTAACATTACACAACAGATTTGTCCAGTTCGTTAGATTTTATGGGATTCTTCGTCCCATAAATGCCATCGTATTGAATCCATGGTATCCTGTCAACTAACAGCACTTTTTTAAAACATGTTCTGTAATAAAAACCTGCAGTCGTTAAATAGAGAATCACGCTATTCACATACTGTATGTACAGTAGACAAACGAGGGGATTCACAACTGATCACCTGTGTAAACCTTGATGTGCAACACGTATTTACCGGTGTTGACGGCGTTCTGTTTAGCTGTGAATTGTTTGTTCTTTAATCTCTAACAGGGTTCAGTGTTTCCCCAAAATATCTCTAATTTGTTCACCGACTTTCCGAAACGTTTACTACAAATGACATGTTGGGCTATGTTTTCCAATAAGAGATGTGCTCTAAGAGACCTTTCATTTCCTTTTTCGATGTGTAGGACAATACCATCGATTTCTTGGAATATGTAGCCGCCTTGAATCTTGTATTAAGAGGCAAACTGGAACACAAACTCAGGTGGTCCTTCAAAGTCTATGATAAGGACGGAAACGGATGTGTGGACAAGAGTGAGCTTCGTGAGATTATTCAGGTAATTCATATTTGGAGTAAAGGGAGATATGATAACTAGATTTTCTAAAACTAACAGTAGGCGTCGGAGAGAGAAGTGTTTATCAAATGGGAAAGATGCTTTCCTATTCGCTAACTGTTGACACAGTTCCTGTTACAACATGGAAATCGGACGGATGACTAAATGTCCTATGGAACTTGAGAACACATAGAACTATTTAATAAACAATGGATGTTCTGCAATCAGATCATAATATAAAATCGCGTATACTGTATACGATTCCGACATTTCACACTCCGGAGCTGTTGATGTTGTTGCTGGTCTCAGAGCAGCTGGTGAGTAATCCACTAAATCCAGAGGTCAGAGGACACGTGCCTGTCTTAATTAGCAAAAGATGAGACTGTCAATAAGAAAATCCCCCACTGAGTTCCCGGATCTGTAAATAATTGAATACAAATTAATACAAAGCTCGAATCAACAAGTACCGTTTCTGAAGAACACAGTTTAACCAACGTTCCTGAATGATATTTTAAAAAATCAAATAATTCTCACTTTAAATGTAAAAAAAATAGTTTGCAAAACTTTCTGTATATATGCAGGGGAAACATTTTAGCCCCCCTACCTAAATTACTTAAATATTGGAATGACATTCTATTAAAGGTGATGCCTACCGAAGTTGCTTATTTGATAAATCAGAGAATATTATCAATAATTTATGATTGATCAAATTGATGGTTACTTTCAAATGTGTATGTCTATAAAAAGCACAATATAGATATTAGGATAATCCTTGAATTCTACAACTGACAAAGTTTTCATTGTTTCCTTCCTTTTAAGGCGATTTATAAACTGAAAAAGAACTCCAGACAAGACAAGGCAACTCAGTTCCTAACACCAGATGAAGTCTGTGAAAGAATATTTCAAATAGTGGATGCGAATGGAGATGGTAAATACAGAAACATATTTAATTATGAATTGATTGATTAACTAATTTATTCTGAGCACATTTAACTGCAAACAACAATATGTAGTACAAGTATTTACTCTTTAAAAGTGATGTGTTTTTCTGTTTGTACTGTACCCCATTATTAAAATTGAATAATTATTTTTTACAGCTTAGGTTTTAAAGCCTAAGCATACAGTACATCACCAAAAAAATTAAAAACATTGGTTCATTATCTAACAATGGGTGTGGCGAAGAGCATTCATTACTTACATTTGACTTTATTCGTTTGACTTACAAAGCTGGCTCACTGAACCTCTTCCTTTGTAACACATTTCTCGCTTTTGGAAAATAACATTTAATGTATTATTTTGTAGGGCAGCTTACACTGGATGAGTTCATTGAAGGAGCGAGGAAAGACAAATGGGTTCTGACAATGCTGCAGTTGGACATAAATCCTTATGGCTGGGTTCTTGAACAGAGGAGAAAGAGTGCCATGTTTTGACTTGATTTTTCTGAGTTACAGTATGTGTTTGCAGGTCCTGCTTTGTGATTTACAGTACATTTACTTACATCCAAGACTTCCTTTATAAAAATAAACGATAATCTCCCTAGAAATCCCATTTTATCTCTCCTAAAATGTTGGTACTGTGTAACCAATCTTCTTTTGAAGTTTTTAGTTGTAAGAAAAGAAACTGTGTGCTCAGAGTTTGTCTTTTTATAGAATGTGGATTTTTCACCCATCAGGAAATTCCTTTTCAGTTTGCTCTTGATTAAAAACTTAATTGTTGCCAGTTTTGATACGTCCCCCAGTCTTTTTAAAATTCTAAATGTTCTACATTTACAAAATAAATTGTAGTATTTATTTAGCCCCATACAGACTCCTTCTGCGTAAATAATGTTGTTACGAGCTGGATTTAAATAAAATAAGTGATGCTAATTTTTTAAATTATTAACTATTGTAACAAAAGGTTTTATACCTGATATGTTTGTTAATATTGTTTTTGTACAAAATAAAAAGTATTGTTTTCATACTGGTTAGATGTGTAAAAATGGAAGCATGCATGATTAATACTAATTTTAATATTTCATTTGTACATCTTTGAAAATGATTAATTTCCCATGACAATACAGACATGCATATGAAAGTGAAATAATTACAAAGATGACACTGTTTTCAATTGCCGCTACACACATCCAAGTTGAAAGAAGTACAGTATATTATGCTGCAGACCTGGCATGTGAACAATAGTTCACAAAACTGACTAAATTTTCTGAATTGACTATTACTGCAGTGCATAATCACAGAACAGATGTGACATTGTGCCTTGGAACAGTATTTTCCTCCTTTCTGTACTATCATCATAAGCATAAAGTTAATGGGAGGATTCCTTCTCTTCATACAGTACATAAATTCTTACCAAGAGAATATGTATGTCCTGCACATCACTTTAATTACTAATAGTCCTGTACTTAGTTAAAACTGTGAGAGGCCTTCCCTCAGTACTGGATATAGATTGAACTTTCAAGAGGCTAAATAAAAGCTTATGGGTCACAGACTCATTAGTCCAGGGGGCTCAGGAAAACACAGAAGAGGGTTTATAAATCCAGGCCTGATTAAACACCAATCCTAGCTACAGGAGCCTGAAGGATGAAAGTTTGCCAGATAATCTGATTTGAAGATCTGACTCAAGCATGCATAATCTTTGAAACATTAACCACTTTGTAAACAAAATGTGTACCAGAATGACATAAACTTATATTTTGAATGGGTTCCGCCTTGCTTGTTGAAAGTTTAACATGACACAAAGAAGATGTGGAAAATTATACTTCATAATTTGAATAAAAACTTAACTAATGAGGGACAACAACCACACATGAAAAAATTTAATTATATATAAAATATTTTTTTCAATGAATGTGCATATTTATAATTATTTTAAAACAATGAAATTATTCAGATTTGGGAAAATAGTATTGTAACCATTGTGTAAATATTGTTCTATTTTTTGTTCTGCATTTTCTTCTTGCTGGGGGAGGGGTTGAATATAAAAATACGGAGTAATTATATTGAGTAATTTGCATAATTAGCATCGAGTAATTTCTTTATTTCTCGTTTGTTGTTTCAAACCTCAAGGTTTCGTCTAAAAGCGATTATGAGCGTGAGGCTCCTATAGCTAATAATAGAATAGTACGCTGTCTTTTGAGGCAACTCTTAAACACTAGTCTGGATAAAACCAGTGGGAATTTAAGCACGGCATTAGCATTAGTTTTTTTCTGCAAAGTTAATGTACGTAATTATACGAGCAAAATAAAGTGAAATGAAATATAACAACAACAATGGAAACATACTTCTGGACAGGAGATAAACCCCTTTGACAAGTCCTATACTTCGCTTAATTGAGAGTTAGTGTAAATTATTTTGGGGTCGTTAAACAACAAAAGCAGTGTTTTTGGATTAGGATTTAGTAGATTGGAAAGCAAATGAGATTGCAGAGATCTATAAATATCGCCCAGGGTAGTCAACGTTAGTACTTAAAGTTATGCCTTTGGGGAAATCTTTCGCAAAGATACTCAGAGACCTACAAGCAAGACCTCCACTTCTGAGCAATGGCTATCCCAGCCCTCTGAAAAGCGGATCAACTGGTCTTCACACCACTAAAGACAAGGGCTGACATTAGGTTAAACGATGGGGCAGTTCCAAAGTGATCACAGAGAGGTTGATATTGCAGAGCTACAGGAATTGTATAAGACTTTTGTAGTGGAATGCCCAAGTGGAGCTTTATTTTTGCACGAGTTCAAAAGGTTTTTTGGAGTTACTGACACGACAGAGGAATCCTTGTATATGGACAACATGTTCAGGACATTTGACACCAACGAGGTAAAGGACCAGGCTACCGCCTAGTTCTTCACAAAAACAGCGTTTATTAATAGGCTTGACTCAAAAAATACGACTGTGTGGATTTGGCTTTGATATACATTTATATTGTACGGGAACAACATTGCATAATTATAGCTTTAACGTGGTATTTCAATTCCATTTCCACTGGTTCTTTAACAATCGTTGAATATCAGGATAGGTGAAGAGTTTCTGAACAGAACTGCAAGCAGTTCAGAATCTGACCTTGCCATTCTTCGACGATGTTAATCTTAATGCTGCGTGAATCCGGTTATTAGTGAAAATGGGTGGTGGATCATAAACAGAATAAAACCTGCCAGAGACGGGTGTGAGGACCGTCTCTCTGTGTGTGTTGTAAAACATTGACACAGTATGTTAGTACTCCGTATGTCAGTTCTTCTAAGTGATAGAGGCTTTTCTAACTTGACACTGCCTACATTTTGTTTTCACCTTTCTAGGACAATACCATCGACTTTTTGGAATACGTTGCAGCTCTAAATCTCGTCCTTAGAGGGAAACTTGAACACAAACTGCGGTGGTCCTTTAAAGTTTATGACAAAGATGGTAACGGATGCCTTGAAAGAGAGGAACTGCGGCAAATCATAGCGGTAAGATCTAGTGCGGTTCTATAAAGCACACAGACGGCGATCACGCTTGTGTGACTTGGTGTCGTAATCATGTTCGTTATTTGCCAGCTTCTTTCAGCTGCTTACAGAAACGTGTCAGGGTCCCTTTAAGATTCTTAAAAAATGTGGAAGACTTGCAGTGACTTTTTTCTTCTTTTGTTTGTCGATAGGCAATTTATAGCATCAAGACGGGTGCAACGGCAAAAGACGAAACCCCTCTCCTTACGCCCGATGAAGTTTGTGAGAGAATATTCGAACTTGTTGACGAAAACGGTGATGGTAAGTGGTAGCAGGATGTAATTGCACAACACTGAATTATAGTTATTCCTAAAACCTGCGTTGTAGCACGACAGTATTGCGGCTTGTACTTGGCTATGTGCGCGGCGTGCTGAAATTACTCGAAACCTAGTTGTTAAAATTCCAGATATCTGCAGGTTTTAGCTTAGTATTCATATGATCTGATGAATTTCAGAGCTTCGCTATAATTTGAATTGCACATGCCATTTTTCCCTCTCTGAAGACGCCTCGCTTATTCAACTGCCATGGATATAGTCTGTATCGTTGCTTAAAACTGAAATGTATAACATTGAGAGTGTATTGCTTTTATGCCTCTTATCAAATATATCTTCTCAAGTGCTTCTAATAAAAAAAATGTTTTCATTCTCAATATAAATATGAGCATACAGTAGTTCAGGTGGGTAGCTGCGTCAGCCTGCTGTACGAAGGTTGCAAAGGAACAAGTAATAGGTTTATTCCATGCTGAAAAGAGAAGTAAGAAAACAACGTTTCGGCTGTGGTGCCTTCTTCTTCACACCCGAAATGCTGTGTTTTCTTTCTTCTCTTTTCAGCATGGAATAAACCTATTACTTGTTCCTGAGCATACAGTATATGTGTAGTGCAACGTGAAGTAGTTCAAGCACTCTTGTCTGGTGAATGAAAACCAGCGGGTGTGATAAGGTGCTATAAATAATAATCAATAATCCTTGCACCTACAGTATATAGCATTTTTCTGTGTGCTCCACTCAGTGATTTACAGGTAATGGGTACTCCCCTCCTCTACCAGCAATCTATTTTAAGATATAAACTATAATCCTGAGGAAAGTACTTCACATACCTGTAGATATTCCAGTAAATGGCCTTGTTGGACTAAAGTAAATTGCTTTGAATAAAAGTGCCAAAAACAATAAATTAATAATGACAATTCATAGCGAAGGACAATTAGTTTATATTGTTTTTTTTTTGCAGGCCAGCTTTCGCTAGAAGAGTTCATCAAAGGTGCTCAGAAGGATCAATGGGTTATGAATATGCTGAAGCTAAACGTGAATCCAAGTGGGTGGGTTATAGACAACAGGAGAAAACGGGCATCTCTTTGACTATTAACAATGATTTAACTTCCAGCTGGGTGTGGGAGAAAATGCACCCAAGAGAGAAACTCAGAAGGGGAACTTTAAGTTTCTGCTAACATGGCAACATGGATTAGCAGCAATGTGAAGAGCTAACATCAGATTAAAGCACCATTTCAGTTGAGGAAAGGACAGGTCTTCTTCACTGATGGATTTACGGGGCCATCTTCAAGTATCTTCATATTGTGTATATTTTAAACATGGGCATTTGCATGCTCACAGCACTTTCTGAGCCAGAACATTTTGTTGGTCCTCCAACATGGCACCAGTTGAATAGTCCTTTGGTACTGTCTTGGTTGTTGACTACAATATAATCTGCTGTCTGGTATCTGGATTTGAAGGATTTTGCAGTGCCAGAATGGAACAGGCATTGAATCAACATGGGTGCATTGAGCGTAATGACATTTCCAAATGCCATCACATTCATTATAAGCTATTGTAACCATGTATGATATCACTACAACATCACCAGCACTATACTGCGCTACTATCTTTTATCCTTAGGTAACGTGGGTTTGTGATTTTACATGTTTTTATACAAAGGCTTTTTATTGTTTGTACAGAATAAGAATGTGTCATTCAAGATGATTAACTTTAACATTGTTCTGCTATTTATATTGAACAAGGAAATAATCAATAAGGAAATAACTGTCCTGGAACTCAAACATTATAAAACCTATCAGATATGTGTGATATTTTCACCAAACTGACCAGTTTGTGGATTTAGCTTTACTGTATTATTGTTTTGGGGCTAGATTGTGTTATTTTTCTTTTGCCCGCTTTCTTCAGGTTCATTTGTGGTCTTCATTATGCTTGCATGGAGATTTATACAACTCCTAATATACAGTAATGCCTCCCTTAAAGCCCCCTCTTGTAATACAGGGTTTTCAGACAGGGTTTAGGGACTACTCTAATAAAAGACTATTTCTACTTCTTTTTGTTTTACTGATTATGATTTTTGGTGATAACCTGCAATTACAGTCTACAAAATTAAACAATATGTTGATAGAGACATTCTTTTTCTCTTTAAACAATTCCATTATTTTGGGTTCCACCACAGCCTGATTCCTCCTCTCCTGACACTCATAGATTACAGTTAACAAGGTCAGTAGACATATCTCTGGGTAATCTTTTATATCTGAGTATATGAGTATATCTGTGAAGCCTTCTTCAGATGTGAGAGTTAGAGTTATAGTTAGATCACACCTGGGATAAACCGATTACCTTTGTAGACTACGCATGCTGACACAGCTTCCCACATGAACTAATCTGACCTTTAATGTTTGTTAGAAGATTAACATGGTAGTTAACTTTTTAAAGGAGCTAATTTGAGACTAAACTCACCCTAAAACGAAGTTAAAAGAAACATATAGCTAGAACTATTTTAAAACTAATAATTTCAGCACACACTCTTGCCAGGGTTTATTCCATGCTGAAAAGAAAAGAAAGGAAACGCAATGTTTCGGCTGTGGCACACCTGAAGAAGGCTCCACATCTGAAATGCTGTTTCCTTTCTTTTCTTTTCACCATGGAATAATTCCCGTTACCTGTTCCTTTGCAGCCTACCCATGCTGACGCAGCAACCTACTTCAACTTAATTTAATAATACTTCTTCGTGATGAAAGTAAATTGAAGCAAAACGTTTTTGAAGATTTCAGTGCAACATAAACATATACTGTATCTTTCAGGGCAATGTAAGGGTAGTACGTAACCAATAAATACATTAAAAATTAATTTAAATGACACCCCCCAAATTCTGAATGCATCTAATTTCCGCAAGATAAAATCTGTTAAAAATCGTTCTGTGAAACAAAAACCCTACAAATAGCTGTATACAAGAGGTAGCATTTGCACCACATAAAAACGATACAGATTATCCATAGATTTGTATGGAACGACTAATCCGACCGGTTGGGACTGGCTCCAAAAAATCCATTGGGAAACGCACACACTGGGTATAATCCTGACGTCACGTACGTGCCGCGTCAGCCTTGGCGTTCCTCAGCTGTTTGTTCACCTGACCAAGATGGCTGTCGGCTGAAGGGTAGTGGTGCGGCTGACACCCGAGGATTTTCTGCACCATGAGCAAAATATAAGCTTGCTTTTATAAATACGGAGTACTTTTCACCATCAACGGTTACATAGCATCTTGATGACCCGTTTGTAATCAGGTAAAACAGTTCTTTCTTTCGTGTAATTCGATCTGCTTAATACGGGTTAACCCTGCTAGTGGTGCTATCGTATGGCACCAACATAATGCTTTTTAGTGCTGTGACCAAAAAAAAAAAAAAACATGCATCGATTCTATGTTTTCAGTTATTCAAAAATTGTGGATCTTGTTTCAAATCAGGTTTGGTATTTAGATGGCTGGTGCAAATAAGCATCGGGGGTTTATCATATTAATTAATAAATTAAGTCAGCACTAGTCTACGATCGAAGCGATTGCCCACAGTAAGTAACTACACAAGTTAATATGAACGTTGCTTTTTTTATTATGATGTTTACATAAAGCCAGAAATAGAATCGCATATGTTCATGTGCTTCCTGGTTTTGAATTGAAAACTGGCGTACTGTAGATATGACGATGCATTTTATTTTATCGAAGCGAGTTTGCAAAGCAGATGTATCGAGATGCAGTAAACACATAAAGTGAAAATGAACAGAAGTTAAAATATTTAGACAGCCGTTTAGACACGTTCTGGGACGTTTTGTGAGTTTTTATGCTGACGTGTGATAAAGTAAAATGCATGAGCTTTAAAAATGTTCCAAGAGATGGTACCACCTACTATGTTCAATCAGTAAATATTTTATAATTGGTATTGGGATAAGATGCTTGATATAGTTTGAGAGCTCGTTGAAATGTTTTGATAGTATTATTAATTCCTTGCATGTATACAGCGCTTTTAATCCTATGGTTCCGCAGTACTTGAGCTTCATCGCCCACTGTGTATCATCCATTCTCTTCCAGCGGTATTACTTATACAGCACAGCCATCCGTAGGGAAGTGAGAAATTACTTCGCCATCTGAATTGATGGGGAGCTTTAAAAAAGTCAGATTGTACGACCCAGATGGAATTTAACTGAGTTACTGGAGCCAACACCCCTAATGATCTGAATAATGCATTGGAAGTCAGCCATGTTCTGTGAGGCCTCACAGGTGTGCAGTACTGAGGGTTTAGTGTTTGATTTAGTGTTCAGGGCTCTGAACATGTAACTGGGAGGGTTGTAGGTTCATATTCCAGTTGAGACACTACTGTGATACTCTTTAAAGGAGATTAATCCAGTAAAATAGTGATGTATAAATAAATATAAGGTGAAAGTGTACAATACTGTACATTGTCATCACCCAAGTTAATGAAACCCATAGAATGAAGAGCATATTATTTACAACAATTAATTTATAATGATCAAATGGAATAAATAGTTTTGCTCTGTATGCTGATGTAATTGCTGCCAGTTGTCTACTTTAAGTTCTTTTCAGGATGTTTTTGTTTGCTTGTTGTGAATCCTGTGATGTTGTTCTTTCTTGTTCAGTACTGTTGGATCTACAACCAATTGCACCTCAGACAAGGTTTAAATATTCAATATTAGGATGTTTTTTTCCTAAGAAGAAATAAACATAATTGTAATCTGAAGAGAAAGCGGTACCACTTTCATATCGTAATTAGGATTTCAAAAGTTCTGTATTAAGTCCAGCTAATGAGCAGTCATCTGAGCCTTTTGTTTTATCTGTGCATTGATGCCTATCTTGATCAATTAGCTATTTTTCATGTTTGCATCACTTGGAGCTTGTTTGCTTCTCACTATCAGTACAGTGATGGAACCTCAAAATAGAGTGAACAAGTAAAGGTTAATTCCATGCTGAAAAGTAGGAAAACAGTTTAAGTTATTAAGAAAATACATATTTTTCTTTTTTTTGTTTAATATATAGTAAGGGGAAAGCACAATGTGTACCTTGAATGAACTCAGGGTGTTAAAACCTCTGAATAATAATAATGATTACTTACACTTATATAGCGCTTTTCTGGACACTCCACTCAAAGTGCTTTACAGGTAATGGGGACTCCCCTCCACCACCACCACCAATGTGCAGCATCCACCTGGATGCTAACTAGTGTAGTGTATACTGTACTAGTATATAGCCTTTTGATGAAGTGAATGGAATCCTTTTTAAAATGTTATGCAGTATAGTAGTCATGCATTCGTGTTTTGTTTGTTGTTTAAATTTATCAAGTTGTCCTAGTTCAGGACCAATCTCTTTTGCCTCACAGGGACCTATCTGAGACCATGTGGAAGTGGTACTCTGGAGATGAGTCAGCCCCTGGTCAGGGAGTGAGTATTAAAAATGTGACTGTATTGGGAATTTTAGCCTGATGCATTTTCATGCTCAAGTATTAAGTATATATATACTGTATATGTTTCTTCATATACAGTATATATGCAAATGTGCATAAGTAGACAAATTCTTCCTACCAGTAAAACTACCTACCACTGTTCCAAAAATATGTTGCATCAAGAGTTTATTTATAGCCAAACAGTTGTGATATATTTATGTGGTTTTGAATGAGCATGTCTGTGTAATTACATGCTAAATGAAGCATATGCTGTATAGAGTGCTGTGCAGACAAATGTGCTTTGGCAGATTGCTGTGCCAATAGTGAGCTGCTCACTGAGGTTCACTGTCCTACTTGCTTTGCTAATCCACAGGCACCAGCTCCCCCGGATGGCATGAGCAGCCAGTCGGTGGCAGATATAACTGAACAGCTGGCTCAGACTGAACAACTTGTGGTTCAGCTGAAAGAACTGATCCGAGAAAAAGATAATGTCCTGCGCACCAAAGACGAGCAGCTTAAGGTATTTGAACAAAATAACTATTGGAATTGTATTTGCTGCAGAAACAATGTGAGGCTTGTCTTTCAGAAAAGCTGAAAACGTGGTCCATATTTTGTTATTGGTTTTACATTCTTAAGGGAAATAGTGTTTTTTTATTTCATACAGTATGTTGTGAGGATGTAACACAACATGTGCCTTGCATAAGTTCTGATTGGTAAATAAAATAATTATATTAAAGTATGTTTCCTTTTAATTTTGGTGATGTACTGCAAATGTATCTTTACTTTGGTAATCACATAAACAAGTACCTATTACATTTTAAATTAGGGATCGTTGTGGTAATCACTATAATGAAAACAAAACCTAGTACTACTGCAATACACTAGTTCGTATAATCATATTAAGTATATATACATACTGAAATGTATCTGATCTTAAGAAAGTTTATGTATAATAATAAATATTTCTTTCTGAGTGACACATTGTTTTTATTTACCTTCAAAATAACATGTGGTCGCAAAAGTGTCATTGTCTCAACTCTGCTGTTGGAAGTGGTCAATTTTATTTACAAGGCAAAGTTATTTCCATTTTCTAGTGCCATTTTTGTCCTTTTTTTCCTATTAGACTGAGAAAGAAGCATGGGAGGCCAAGCTCTCCAAAATGAAGCTGCAAAACAAAGCCAAGGTCACCTCATTAAATTCTCAACTGGAAGAATTAAAGAAGCAGCTGCCATCGTCAGGAGCCAAGGAAACCAAGTCTGATATCAGAAAGGTGCTTCTTTAAAACACAAACGTTGCGTTTTTATTTAAAGCATGGATCTGAGCAGTCAGTCTGAGATTTAGTGCTGTCTGGCGTGTATGATGGGGGGTTAAGTGAATGAGCTCCTCAATGGATTCACATTCCTTACATACCTGTGCTTGTGTCATTAAATTACCTAATCTAATCTAAATAGAAGTGACCTTATTATTTAACCATATTCTTAGACACTTGTGTTTTTACTGCCAGCACGTATACTGTGGTGTTGAGGAATGCAGTAACATTATGGAAAAGGGTCTTTTTTATGGTTTGGTCTGGTTGTGTCACTTTCATCCTGCAGGCTTCTGGTGATGGGGACCAGGAGCATGCTGCCGCAAGCCGTGGAAAAATCCTAGTGCTGAAGAAAAAAGTGGAGGAACTTGAACTGCAGCTTTCTCAGAAAGAGGCAGACCTGGAAGTTAAGGTGGACGTCACGTTTGTTTAGGCGGACATTCTCACACATGCCCTTTCTTGCATACACTGTCTTGTTTCATATTTCTGTCCATAAAACCTATAGCTCATGAGCCCCCTAAGATGATCTGGTATCCAGGCATTTTACAACTCGGTTTGAAATGCATTTAATTAGCAGGGGAAGCGTAGAGCTCACTCACAGTGTCAATGAGCTTTCTCGTTCTGGTTGTGAAACAGGTCTATGCACCATGTTTGTGTTGGTATTTTTGGGGTGTTAACAGCTACCTTTTAAGGTTTGGGTGACATTGGGTGGTTATGTATTTTGGGATGATCTGGTTTTGCCGGTGGAAACAGATTGAATGCATGAATGTGCCTGCTAGTCTGGCTTCTTTTCACAGACCAGAGAGCTTGCGGATCAGAGGCAGCGTGGGGCGGAGATGGATGGCATGCTTGCCGAGAGGGACAAGAAGCTGCAAGAAAAGGAAGCTTACATTGTTGACCTCCAGCTGAGTGCGTCGGCTGACCTCACCTCCAGAGCCTCATCCACTCCCACAGAGCCGCTGAAGGCAAGCCGGCTTCCCCGACCTTTGTCTTGCTGCAGATCCATTTGATTCTTCAATGCTTTATTTGCTGTTATTGGTGCCATGCGGAGTAAACAAAGCCTGTGCCTTTTAACAGGCTCTGTAGTATAATTTATCATTGCGTTTTTTTTAACAAAATAGGGGGTTATACTTCAGGTCACTTTTCAATGAAGAATAACAAATTCTAATTGTTTTTGGTGATGGCTTTCCATTAGGTAGGTGTATGAAGCTCCAGAGAAGCTAATGCTGGCAACCAGGTATCAGTTTGAAATTTGAGGGTGGGTTAAACTTTTACTTTTGATTTAATCTGGACATAAAACAACGTTGCTCATGTCCATAGTGCTTTTTCCAAACCAGTCACTGTTTCTCAAAGATAGTTTGGGGAGCAGTTAACTAGGTATAGTAAAGTTGGATATGCCTTTGGTTGGCTGTAAAATTGTTTTGTATTGAATTGCAGGTTCACTTAGCAGAAAAAGATGGTTCCCTGCAGGACCTTCAAGTGCTGGTGCAAAATCTTACCAAGAAAGTTGGGGAAAGTGAAGAAAAATTCAGCCTTCTTCAAGAACAGAATGAAAGCCTTAAGGAGCTTCTGATGAAAGAGAAGACGCAGTTTGAAGAAAAAGAGAAGATGTACAAGGAAAATGTAGGTTTTCTCTGAATCCAGTTTTATTATTATACAGTTTTTTTAACTGATTTTCATTTTGTTTAAATTAACAATAATGCAATCCCAGGATTTGATTTCAGTTCATTGTCTGAAAATCACGGTTTCAGTCCATTAAAATCAATGCTTTTTCCGTTAATGTTTTTGTGCTTTCCCACTTGTTTGTAGATCCAAACGTTTAAAGACATTATTCTGGAAAAAGATAACAAGCTGGTGGAAATAAACCAGATGCATGAACAGGAGCTGTTCAGACTGGCAGCCAAATCCGATGCCAGCGCGGACCTTGAGCAGGTAACCTGCAAGATGTTTTCAGTTAGCTTTTGTAAATAAAACTTACGTAGTTTATATTGTGGCTTTCGAAAGCTCATATTCCATAATGCAGCTTGGCTTTAATTCTGTGCTGATAGCTACTGAAGGCTTTGAAACAGAAGTTACACGAGAAGGAGGAGGTTCTGCTAGGGAAGACTCAGGTTATTGACGTTCTTCAGAATGAAGTGGATGCCAGGGACCAGCAGATAAAGGTAAGGAACTAAACTGGTCTCACCAGTAGCGATGCATGAAGAGATAGTAACTTGTTTTAAGGGTAAGATTTTGTTTTTAAAATGTATTGTTTAGATACATTTGTGTAAATCAGATCAAATCTGTTTTTGAGTGTTGCCATGAGAATGTAAATTTAATGTGCATTTCCATTTTTTTGAGTAGATGCAGTCAGGTTTTGAAGCACATCAAGCTTCATTTTTTAAGTTGTTTCTAGTTTATATACTCATATGTAAAAGAGTGGTAATTTTCAATTTGATTAGAACGCGACTGAAGCCATCTGAAAACATTCTGGAATTGTTTTGTTTTCAGGAGCTTGCTGAAAAAATGAAGCGCCTTCAAGGGGAGAAAGATAATATGCTTTCCAAGCTGGACGCCGAGAAGCATGTAATGAGAGCCCAACTCAGAGACCTGATGCAGAAACATGAGACTGAACTGAAACAGGTCACAGAGAGGCACGAAAGTGAGCTGTCCGAGAAGCATCAAGCTTACCTGCAGCTCCAGAGACAACTGCAGGAGCTCAGCAATAAAAACGCAGCCCCTGCAGAGCAGACAGGAGGGACTCCTCTGGACACAGCTGCTAATCAGAAAATGACAGAGTTAGAAGGTGAATAAAGTGTTTGTCTTTTTCCTTATAGTAATGCAGTAGTTTATCCTCTGTGGTTCTTAATGTTTTCCCACGTTTTGTTATGATTTGTTAACCATAAGGTTAAAGTGAATGACTTTTTAAAATAATACTTGGCATACTCATGCATTCTGTTCAATCCACAGCTGTTGTCTTTTTTTAATATTGCTTTCTGCAGTTTGTGAAATTAATGATTCAGATGTTGTGATAATATTCGAATATTAGGCATTTTAATGTAAATGAAAAGAGGCACGAGAGTCGCAACACGACTTTTTATCATTGATGTTTTTTTCCCCTCACTGTATCTTTGGATTTCAGGTCTGTGCCTTGTCTCAGTTCATTCATTTGAAAAAGACTTTGTGTTTTATTGGTTAACTCTCTCAAACAGCACAAGCAAAGCAGAAAACCGAGGAGGCCAGTAAATCCGAAACAAAATTCCTCAAAATGAAGGCCTGGTCCAAGTCCAGAATAAAACAACTGGAGGAAGAGCTCAGAAAAGCACAGGTTAGTGTCGTTGTGCACTTATCTGTAATGCTGATTATTACCACTTAAAATGGTGTTTCTGTTAGAAAATTTATATTTCTAATAAGGACTCTCTTCTAATATAGTCTGGAAACACAAGCCCTGATGTGAATGCTTTAAGGAACAGAATTGCTGATCTTGAAGAGGAAAGAGAAGAACTTCATCAGAAACTAGAGCAATATGAAGAACTAAAGATGAAAAATGGTAAATATTCACTTTCATTCACTATAAACAGGTACACAGTAATATTTTTAAATGTTCAGTAATAGCTTCAAAAATAATTTATTTGGTGATTTTAAATGCTAATGTATTTTGCTATAGTTTTCCCACTGAGGAGTTTTGATACAAGTTCTAATTCTCTTACAAAAAAATCTGATGCTTTTTCTAGATATTTACTTTTTGACTATTAAAACAATACTGTATTGATGCTTCTTTTTAACTGCAGATGAACTAATGGCTAAACTTGTGATCTATGAAGAGCAACAAAGGAAAATGCAGGCTGACCTGGAACAAGTTACTAAGAGAGCTGCATCTCAGGTTTGGAAATTCCCCAAAACTTCTTCTTAGAAATTCACATGGGTCTTAAGGAATTGATTATCCTGCCATGAGTACATGATAATGCAAGTAATATATTATATAATACACAATATAAAAAATAATGTAATAAACATTTTTGGTATGATTTCTATATTTTTCATGTATTGATAATTTGCATTTTAAATTAGTTTAAATTAAGTCAATGGTGATAGACTATTGTTTTCTCATTTGTTATTTTATCCTGTGCTACATTAGTGAAAAACAGTTATTTCTTTACAATTCTGATGGACATTAAGTCCTCTGTAGTAAATGGTAGCCATTCGATTTTCTCTATGGGTTGATGAGCTAGGGGTGTTTTTTCATGTGCGAGTCTGTTGTAAATGCGCCCCATGTGTGGACAGACAAGTGAGTCGGGCAGCGTGGAAGAGCTGCAGAGCCAGGTTCTGGAGTGGCAGGAGATGGTGTCCGAGGCAGAGGCAGTCCGTGACCAGGCCAGGGAGGAGAAGACAGCCATGGTTTTGAGAATGAGTCAGATAGAGGAGGAAAGAGAAGGTAAAGTGGGTCTCCTTCAAACTTGGCAACATCGAGAAGCCTGTCTGTTGCAGTGTCGTTGGCTATTTCTATATGCTGCACCATAAAGGACAGTGTATATATAATTCACTCCTCTGCCTTGTTCACATCTTCACTATACCCACTTCACATATGCCTTTCTAGCATGAAATGTCTTACATCTGTAGCAAACAAGGCACTTTACAACAGGAATATTTATAGTTCTGTTTTTATCTTGAAAAACCAGTTAGATCAGTATGTAAATATTTTCTTTGATGTTGCCATCACTGTACTTTCATTGCATTTTGTAATCAGAGTAAGTTTTTTGAAGAAAACGTTTTGCTTATTTGAGTCGGATGTTTTTTCTGGCTGGAAGAGATATCATCAGATAGAAAACATAAGGTAGGAAAGGTAGGAATACAAACTTAAAAATGCCTAGAAAAAAAATAACTTTGATGCTTGTGTATCATCCTTCCTTTCCCTTGTCCTGTCAAAGACTGTACATCAGTTTCTCCCTTTTCCTAAATGTTTAGGATGCCTTGTGTCGTTTTATGAAGAGATAAAATAGTTTTCATCTGACTTGGAAGGTCAGATAGAGAAGCTGATTGGTTTGTTTTTTTTGCCCGAGGCCCAGTTTCTGTGCCATTATTATTTTTCCAGCTATTGTTGTGCATTGTTTTGGTTAGGTTGAGCATGATGTTTCTTTTTTTTTTTTCCTTTTCTCCATAATCCGTGCCGAGCACTCGCTCTGTGCCCCTGCCCCTCCACTCCTCCTGCTCACTGTGATTTGGCCAGCCACAGAGAACAGTTTCCCATCAGTTTTGTGCATGCAGGTCCTAGTAACCGCCGGCACTGTACTGCTGAGGATTTCCCCGTCACACTTTGCAGGAGGGTACATCACAAGCAGTACAGGAATGGCTGTTGCTTTATTTTTTTCCCCATTCGTTTGTCTCCTCCAGTGTTCTTCCTGAGCAACTAAACAAAAATCCACAAGGCCATTTTCTTCAGAATGCTCTTAACAACACAAAAAAGTACGTTATTGGCAGAGGGCTTGTAATAGCCAGAGCATTTAGTAATTTTAAGCAATGCCAGTGCCAACAATGACATTTCTGAAGCAAAAGGCTTTGTGTGCTTCCTCCTGAATAAGTGATTCTGAGTGCCCTTTCACTGTCTTTGTGTTAATTCTACCAACACTGCTAACCCAACTTCATTTAACACGTCTAGAGTCTCCGTGATAATGGGAGTAAATAAGAAATATGCTGGTACCAGCTTCTGAGGAGCTGCTTGAACCACAGAACACTCCACTGCATGTTAACGCGCTAGTGCCTAATGGATTTTAGGTTCTTGGCTTCTAAACCTTTCTTTCTCACCTTTGGTGTCATTATTAATGTAGTCAAGGGGTAGCTCCACAGTTTCCAACAAGAATGTAATGATACTGGAGAAAAAGTGGATTAGAATTGGTTTGCTAAAAGCAAATTGATTGCAAAGCAAAATCGTTTTACGTGATAGATTTTTATAGTAGTTAATTCTGCTGCATTGCTTTTAATTTTCAACTAAATTTTATTTCAGAATGATACAGGTGGAGCAATCACTTGCCTAAATTGATCCTTTGAAGTGATATCTGCACTTTGTCAGTTTTATTTTTGTGCTTTGCTTGTAATTTTGTGCGTTTGGCAGTATTAATGTCTAAATGTCTATTAAATCGCAAAACAGATGGGAATGTATTTTTGTCTGAGAGCCCATTAATAACAAGATAAACATGAAACTTAAACTTTTGATTACTCCATATAAGGAAAACAAACTAAATTATACCGGTTACTGCAAACATCATATAAATTTTGCTTGTAATATTGCAAAATTCCTCTGGAAGTCATTCAAAAACAATTCAACAGCATTTTTAACAGTTTACAGAACACCCTTTTGTTCATTGGTTTATACATATTCCTAAAATATCCTCTCCAGTGGTATAATAGTGTTTTTTATTTTTTAAATGGTATTGCTTTGATCTGAACAATTCTGAATTGTAAACTAAATTGTAGATAGTTTTAGTAACCCTAATCGGGTAACTTGTAAATCAATAACATCATTCTTAAAGATTCGTTTTTGCTGCACTCATGCAGGTTTCCTACTATTAGGACTGATTTCCACTACGTCACTGGAGAAGACATAATAATGTAGTGGGAGCAAAAAACCTGCTACAATATTAAAGAAGAACATTTGTATCAAGCACATTTCAAAACCATTTGCTGCTCTTAGCATTGTAAGGTTCTGCTGCAAGACCAGGCTAGGAATTATAGACAGTTAAAAATCACGACCCAGTGCCAATTAAGAACTTAATTGAAAGAATTTGATATTTTACACAATGATACAGTTCATTGTGGATAGTACTGTAATCAAGTAGCAGTTCAGGGTGTTCTGTTGTTTAATTAAATCAACACATAAAGAGATTTTCAAAAAAACAAAAAAAAAACCTTACTAGCCGACATTCCACGATCCTTTCAGTTTTCTTTTCTGAATGTAATCTGACTACAAGATTTTTGTTTTGTGCGAAAGCACGTGTCCATGATCTAAATATCGCTTTGGGGCAGTCTTCAAATTTTTTAGTCACAAGTCCTCTCAGTTTTGTCTCTCGACTTGGCGTGCAGCTGTGCTTGTTTGGCTTGCGTGTGCTCTCTCTGTGCTGCAAGTACGTGTCTGAAGAGAATTGATTTCCTGTGGCACAAAACTGATCGAGGATGACTGGTTCTTTCCTGGCTGCTCCGATCCAGCCTTAGTCGCTCGGCAGCAGGAGCTGGAGGAGGAACTGGCACAAGCTCGAGGGCTTCGGCAGCAAAGGGGCAAGCAGAAGCAGGTGAACATCGGCACCCACAATCTGCAGGTAGGAGTGGTGCGAATAATTACAGTAAACAAAGGGCACTTGTTAGAAATGTTCCCGATTATTTAAAGATGAGATTTTTTTAAAGGAATAATTAAAGTTTTCAGGTACCTGTTTTTGGAGGAAAAAGTGCGGTTATGTATGATTGAATCTGTTTCGCAAAGTCTTTTTCGCCTCGAAGAAAATGCTGCGCTATCATTACCATAGTTTTAAAGTGTTAAGTGTGTTTCCTGTATTCTGCTGGTTTACTAAATCATTTATTCTGTTTTTACCTTTCGAGCATATTCCCCGGTGAGGAATTTGGTAAATCTAGGCCATTCTTTTTGTTGTTGTTGTGGACAAGCAGACATTTAGGTCATTATAAATTAATTTGTAATTATAAATGAATATTTCTATGTGATGTTATAAGCATTGCTTCAAAGAGCAATGGATATTAATAATCCGCAACAGTATTCTTTTAACTTAGTAGAATTGCTAATTGTTATGCTACGTTATTCTAGGAGGATTTTGAATTTGATGGGAAGCAATCATATGAAGATGCCAGCGTCACTTTAGAGAGCAACAATTCTGCAGAAGGGGAGAATATGGGAGGTTGGTGGCCAGAGTACAGTTCTCCTGATACAGGTGTGATACCTACTAGACAGTTTATTGTAGCATGCACAATGTTTGTTTTATGTGGATTTTAATTTGAATTACTTTTTTGACAATTGTATAACCCTATTTTCTGTGGAATTTCTCTAACCACCTTCAGCCCTTTATGTATATTATGTTTGGTTGACCTGTTATTTTAATTTTTGTAGATTTTTTTAGCATGTGCGTGCTGGATGAACTGCCTAGTTTTGGTTCAGTATTGTGTAGTCCATGTTGAATGCATTGAACTGTGTCAGATCTGGTGTGTAATTTAAAAGGAATCCAAAGCTGCAAAATTGGTAAGACATTTGATTTCCTTATTTTTAAAGACAAATTCAATGTGTGAAATGGTTAAGGGTTTTGGGTCTTTAAAAAGGAAATGGAATTGGAATAATAAGGTGCTAAGAATGTTTTATTAATCATTGTGTTCTGTCGTAATATAATGTAAAAAAAAGTGCCGTCCAGAAATGGCAGTGTATTTTAAAATATGATTATATAAATTATTTAAAAAGCATTTTTCACAAAACAGTGGTATATCAGGCACTGTGTAAGTCTGCTACTACATCAGAACCTGTGAAACCCTTAATCTAGCATGGCTCTAGATCAAGTAGATATTGACAGTTTAGTCTTGCATGCACTTTGTTCTCTGTAATTCATCAGTGTTTGCATGATATAAGTGTAGTACGTTTACTGTCATATTTATTACGTAAACTAAGTAAGCAAGATTTGAATCTGTGATACTTACTGTGTTGTGGAAGGTTTATTTAGATTTAAAGGTTTGTTTAGCCCATTTTTGACCAAACATTAAGATATGTTTTGACCTTATTCTGTTTCATCATAATATGAAACTGTTGTTGACTTCCTCTGCAACATAGTTTTTGGTTTTAAAAAACTGAATGTCTTAAAGACAATTTGATTAGTACATTAAGACTTATGCTGACTGTGAGTTTTTGTCTGAATTGTATGTGCTTCTCGCTTGTGTGTGTTGTGCTGAATTAAAAATGTCAGGCCTGAGATCGGTGGTTGAAGAGCTGGAATTGGAAAGAAACCAGCTTCAGGAGCAGATTCTGGCACTGGAAGAGCGATGTCAGGACCTTGAAGACAGGCTGCAGCTGCAAGCAAGGATTGAGTCACTGCAGGTAGACATCTTAATGAATAATTGTTTCATGTTCGAGCCATTATACTCCACCAAGGGGGGTTCCACCAGTATAGAGAGCAGGGCAGTGTATGATCAAAAGATGTTTGCAGCTAACCTGGTTTAGTTTTCAGCATTCCATTTCTTTAATTAGCTGAAGTGCTATTGTATTAAATCGTTGTATCTGCACATCTGGGAAATTATTTAATGATTTGGACTGTGAGTAATTCTTAATTCAGACTTTCTCATAAAGATGATGTCTCTCTCCATGAGACATTTCAAAGAGATTGTACTGTGATGCCACAAAAACATGCAAAAATAGTAATAATAAGTGGTGGTGTTCAAACTGTTTTTAAGCTCTAATGTTTTTTAACATTCATGTTTACTCATGATTAAAAACACTATAAATGTTGTGTTGTCCATGGCAATTAGGATTTTGTAACAAAACCTTCTAATACAGGTGACGTTTGATGTAGATGAAGAAGGGCAGCCGTTGAGGGTTACACAGGTCTGTTTTTATTGGTGTGCACTAGAGAAAACATCACCTAGGGGTGACAGCTGACCACTGCCATGTTGTTTGTCACACGTGTCTTTGTTTCCACATTCATGTGGGTGTAACGCTTAAAGCTGGTTGAGTAATGTAAAGCTGAACTGTCTTTTCACTATGTATTAAAGGCACTTTTCATTTCGTTCAGTAAGGTAATTATACTTATTGATCATCGTTTGAAAAACACTGGCTATGTAAGGACAATCTTCAGTAAAAGAAATACCATTTTGCTATAGATACATTTATGCTGTGTGGTGTGTTTTGAAAAAGCGGGAGTTTGATCTTAAAATCAAGAGTGACACGTGGGTGTTTGAGGTCACCAAGGAGAATTTTTATTTTTTTCTTTGTACTTTTTAAAGTCAGTACTTAAAGGTGTCGCTGAGTGAGTTTTCAGAGATATTGATGTTTTTCTACAAAACCTTTTTTTATCCCATTGAAGAATGAAACAGAACGCCTCCAGGCTCAGTTAGCCAGTGTGCGCAGTCAGCAGAGCAGAGATGCTGAGAAACACCAGATTCTTGTCTCCAGTCTGAACGAACAACTGAAAGGGTGAGAAAAGGCACATGAGAAATGTACAAACTCAAAAAAGGCCAAAATTAAACACCATGGTGCTTCATTGAACACTTTCAAAATTAAAGATATCATGCGTGTTGTTTTGGTTTAAATGAATGGTTTTGAAAAGCTTTCTTTAAGAAAAATTGTTTTATCTGGATTGAATCAAGCACCATCGTTCATTGCATATTTTTAAATGTTTTTTTTTACCTTGAAATATCTTTTATTTAGAATGAGCGACCGGAAGGAGACCCTTGAAACATCTCTCATGGAGAAGGAGCAGACATTAGCAAAAACATCTGTAAAACTGGAACTAATTGATCATCTCAAAGATTCGTTAAAGGTGCAGGAGGTACAGAACAAAGAGATCACAGAGAAGCTGTTTCACACGGAGCAAAAAGTACGACTTTAAAATCGGATTTTTTTCCATTCATAGCAATCCATTATAGATTTTAGATTATTGAAAGATTATATTTCTTTGATCTGCCATAACCACCAATAAAGCGAAAAATCAGAATTAGCTACAGTTAAAACAATTTTAATTTAAAAATAATTTTTACATATGCATATGACTACATTCATAGTATACCCACACAACGTTTATTTGCAATCATTTTGCTTTCTAATTTCCAGCTCTCTGAAGCTAGCAAGAAGTGTAACTCCTATGAAAAACAATGTTCCGAGCTGAAGACTTCTGTTACCGATCTTACACAGAAACTGTCCATGTTAAAAGAAAAGGTAACATTTCTCACTGTAACCCTGACTGCTTTTCCTGACTCCCCTTTTCCATTTTGCATTTCTCAGTAGCAATTTCCCATTTGTTTTATCTGTATGACCTTAAAAGTTAGCACCCAGATATCACATGTGGTAGATTACATCAATATTTACCTTCTCTCTTTTATTTCCATTTTCTAGTCTCAGAAGCAAGAGGCTACAATAGAAACACTGCAGCGGGACCTGGACCAGACAAACGATGAGCTTGACAAATTGAACTCTGCCCATTTGCAAGAACGGGCACAGCTCATTCATGACCTCCAAAGCTGTGAGAGAGAAATTGATAACCTTAAAGATGTTCTCTTGGAAAAAGAAAAGGAAATTTCTTCTCTTTCTAGTAGTATGAATGAGTATGCTGAGCAAGTCTTGGAGTTGAAACAGCAAATCAAATACAAAGAAGAGGATCTGGCACTAATGGAATCAGCCCTAGCTAAGGTAGAGCAGGAAGCTCGAATTATAAGAGACTCCCAGTCTTCTGATCAGCAGGCCTTGAATGCAAAGATTGCAGCTCTTATGGAACAGCTGAAAAGCATGGAGAATGAACTTGACAGCATTAAAGCACAAAAAGAAGAAAAGGTCAGAGAGGCCGAAGAGTTACTAAAGCATGTCCAGGAGGATAGGGAGACAATTCAAGATCTTCGGAGTGAAATCCAAAAACAAAATGTGAATCATCGCACTCATCTCGCTGAATGCGAGTCTCAGATCTCTTCCTTGAGAGAACAGGTCACTGCAACATCTCAGAAATTGCAAGAGTCTGACAACAAAAGCCAAGCAGAGATTAGCGACCTTCTTTCCCGTCTTGAAGAAAGCAGTGCTTTCAACAAAGAGCTCAAGGACAAGCTGCAGGAAAAGGAGCAAACCTTCGCAAATGAGCTGAAATCCTTAAAGGAGGAGTGCAACAAACTTCTTGCTGAGGTTTCGACTAAAGATAAAGAGCTGCAGAAGCTATCTGAACAACTGGCAGAACAGGTGGAACATCACGAAAAGATCAAAAAGGTAGTACAGGAGAAACTGGAGACCATATCTTCTTTGGAACAGAACCTAAAAACTACTCAGCAAGAAGCAGAATATAATAAACAAAAACAGAATGAGGAGCTGGAAGCAAGAGTTTTAACCTGTAAAACACTTGAGGATGAACTCTGTGATAAATCTGAGAATCTTTCAAAATTGGAAATTGATGTGAAAAATCTTGAACATGCCAAAGAGGAACTCCAGGCCATTGTAGAGGAAAAGGAAAAACTTCTTGAAGCACAAAAGCAACTTGTTGCTGAGTTAAGTGAAAAGGTGGCTGTTGCTGCTAAGGACAATAAGGATCTTCAAGTCCAAGTGCATAAATTTACGGAGGAGAGTGAGAAACTGAGAAAGGCAGTCACTGATCAAGAGAGATATCATTCAGAGGAGTTTGAAAGGCAAAAGAAGGTTGAGAATGAACTGCAAAGTAAATTATCTCATTATGAGACTCAGATTTCAGAATACTGCAAGACTGTTGGAATGCTACAGAAAGAAAAGGAAGACCTAACTTTAAAAACTGAGGATCTCAATATTCTGGAGCAGAATAAAAATATAGTGGCAGAGAAGCTATTGGAAAAAAATGATGAATGTAGTCATCTTGCACAATTATTATCTGAAAGTAAAGAATCAATAGCACACTTTCAGGAGCAGATCAATATCTTGAATTCCCAGCTAGACCAGCTGAAATGTGATATTGCTGAAAAGGAGAAAGTTGTTCAAGATAAAAATGCACAGTGTGAATTTCAGCAAGAGCAGCTTGGGCAACTTCAAGAGACATTGATTTTGCTTCAGGAGCAGAGTGCAGTTTTAAAATCATGCTTGTTAGAAAAAGACTCTGTCTTGCAACAAAGAGCTTTAGAATGTGAGGCCTCGCAGAATGAAATTGTTCAGCAGAAAGAGCTTTTCGATAAGTTAAAAATAGAAATGGAATCTCTTAAAGGCCAATGTATACAGCAAAACCAAAACCTGAATGAAAAAGAAATTACCCTTAATAATAAGTCTCAGGAGTGTCAAGGGTTGCTTGATAAAATAAATAGGAAAGATGAAACAGTGACTTCACTGAGCAGACAGTTAGATGTTACGAATGAAGAGCTTATAAAACTTCAGTCAGAAAATGTTAATCTTAAAACTACATTGGATAATACAATTGCTGATTGCAAACTGCTTAAAGAAGACACAGTTCAGTCAAAAAATGAGGTGATGGAGCTTCAGAAACAAGTTCAGGCATTGAATGAGCAAAACGCCAAACTTGAAATAGAAATTAAGGAAGCAGCTGTAGTTTTATCAGAAACGCTGAAAGAAATTGGTGACCTCCAATCAGAGTTGTCTAGCAGAGAGAGTAGTATAGTCTTCTTGAAAGAAGAGGTGGTGGGAATTAATTCAGAAAGATTAAGTTTAAATGTGGCTTTACAAGAGAAGATAGAAGCTTTGAATCAGCAGGAGATATTTATAAAGCAGTTGCAGACCAAATCAATAGAGGGGGAAGGACAGCTTAGCCAAAACATGGTAACAATTACTGAGTTACAAATACAAGTGCAGGAATTGCAAACTTCACTGCAGGACAGAGGCAATTTATTGAAGAAGCAGGAAAAAGAACTTACACGGTTAAAAGATAAGGCTGAAGAATCGGAGGTCTTAAAAACGCAATTGAATGAAAATATGGAGATTATTTCTAATCTCCAGATTCAGCTTCAGGCCATGTCAGAGAAGAATGATGAGTTAAATCATAGCATCATTGAAAATGACTCCCTGCTGAAACAGAAAATAGATGATTACCTTAATTTAAGGGCACAGTTTTCAGAACTGGAAGACATGGTATCACAACTCAAAAAACAGCTACACAGTACAACTACAGAGTCTGATCAGTTGAAGAAAGTACTTAAGGAAAAGGAGTTGACCATATCACAGATTCAGAAGAGCTTAGTGGATCTCGGTGAGGATTTCAACTTGAAACTGAAAGCTAAGGAGACTGAGTGTGGAACTTTTAAAGAACAAATCACAGATCTTCAAGAGTCTGTTGCAAAACTGAATGAAAAAATAAGTACTCAGTCATCTGAAATTAGTCAATTGAAAGAGGTCCTTTTAGAAAAGGAGACTTCTGTATCAGACCAGGCAAGAATCCTGAAGGAACTCCAGATAAGAGCAGATGAGGCAGTCCTTTTCAAATCACAGTTGCTGGAGAGCAGAGAGTTTGTATCGCAGCTACAGGACCAGATTCTCAAACTTTCCACAGAATCCAAGAGACTCAGTGAATCATCTGAGGAGAAAAGCAGCGCTTTCTTAAATCTGCAGGACATGTATGCATCCCAGTCGGAACGCCTGCGTGAATGTAACACATTGATCACTCAAAAGGAAGAAGAGATCTCTAATCTCAGTAAGTTGTTAAGTGAAAACAGAGAATCTAGGTACTTTGCAGAAAATACCTCAAACCTTCTAAAGAATGAAATTACACTTCTGAGAGATGAACTTCAGCAAATACAAACATCATATGTTAATAATTTAAAACAAAAGGATGATGTTCTTCTCACTTATCAGGCAAACAATTCTTGTCTGACTGCTGAGATTGAGCAGTTAAAGCCACAATACCAAAAAGCCATTCAACAGGTTCAGACATTAAATGAGAGTCTTGAACAAAGAGAAGCTGACTTGCAGTCCTTAAAAAGAGAGCACTCTGAACAAGTAGACCACATTGACCTGCTGAAGTCAGAAATATTGGACTTGAATCAAAAGAATAAAAAAATGAGAGAGGAAGCAGAACAGGTAAATCATAATCTGCAACAGCAGCTGGATTTGATAGTCAGTGAAAAAACACATTTGCAGCAAGAAGTTGAGAGAATAACTCTAGAGAAAGTTGAGCTTGATAAGAATTACAATAGTCAGTTACAAACAATGAAGAATGAGATGGATTTCATCAATAAGCAGCACGTCAGCAACATGAGTGAAGCAGCAGAGCAGCTGACGACGGAGAAGGAGCTTCTTCAGATGCAGGTTAGTGCCAAGATTGAAGAAATCATCGGACTGAAGTTAGAAACTCGTAACATAGAACACACCCTACAGGAATCAGAAAAGGAGTGGTTGTCTATCCTTGACAGGGAAACCCAGCTCAAAAATCTTCTCACAGAGCAGTTGAGAAGCTTAGAAAATGAGATGAAGTCAAAAGACGTTAAAGTCCAAGCACTGCAAAAGGACCTAGATACCTTGCAGGAAAAGTTTAATGAGGTAACGTCTGCACTCAAAATTAGCACTGAACAATTAAAAGAAAGTTGTCAGCAAATTGCAGTAGATAAACATCAATTAGAAAATGTATTTGCAGCAATTCAGAGAAAAGATGGTGAAATTTCAGAACTGCAACAGCATTTAAGAGATAGGGAAGATGAGGTTAAAATGTTAGAGATAGATAAGGAGTCAAGTAATAAAAATCTATTCGAAATCTCACAATCCATGTCTGATAAATTAGTAGCTTTTGAAGAAGAAAAAAAATATTTGCAAGCCACTATTAAACAAATAAAGGTAAATCATCAGGCAGAAATGGATTCTATGAAAGCCTCTTTAGACAATGTGACAGAGGTATTGCAAGAAAAGCAGTCTGAACTTGCAGAGAGAGAGAAAATCTATCAAGAGAAGAACAATCAGCTTTGTTTTTTGCAGGACCAAATAAAAAATCTACAAAAAGATATGGATGCAGCTGCTACTGATCTTAAAGAGGCAGTTACTGAACATGAATATCATCTTGGTGTAATCAAAAAGAAAGAGGATCAGATTCAGTGCATGAATATTCAGATAAGCCAGCAAAAAGAATTGCTCACCTCCCTTAGCCAACAGTTAAGAGAGAAGGATGCATCCGTCACTCAAGTCATGGTATCGGCATCTAATGAAATGCTGAAATATAGTGACGAAAAGAATCGGTTGATTTCACAGGTAGAAAACCTTGAACATTTGCATCATTGCTCCACAAAAGAACTTGAAGAACTTTCCCTTCAGCTTCAGGAGTGTAAATCTCAGCTGTCTCTATGTCAAAATCAGATAGAAATAAAAGATGTAGAAAAACAAGAGTTGGTCAAAGAAAAAGAGCTGATGCAAGTGCAGTATGAAAAACTATCCAAAGATAAAGAAATAATGAAGAAAAAGCTCCAGGCTGCACTGTTAGTGAGGAAGGACTTAATAAAGAAGGTGGAAGAGCTTGAAAAGCAAAGAGAAGGTGGTGACCAGCAGGATAAAGAAATGTCTGAGTTGCAAGATCAATTGCAAGAATTAAAATTACATCTTCAGACCACAACACAGGAACATGAAAGTCACGTAGACCTTTTGAAAGAACAAATACTACAAAAGGAAAGTGGAATCCTAAAACTTTCCGAGGCCCTTTCTATGAAAGAGTCTCTCTTGGAACAGCTGGAACATAATGTACAGTGCTTGCAAAGAAAGCTTAGCGAGCAGGAGACAGACATTTTTCCTGCCCTCCAATCAATTAATGAAAAAGATAAAGTTATTGAGCACCTCCAGTACAGCATCAGTGAAAAAGAAGAATCTTATAACAGTGAACGAGCTGAGATGATCAAGAAGCTTGAGAATCTGAGAGCAGAATTATTAAAGAAAGAAGAAAGCATTCAGTTGATAGATTCTGTAAATTCAAATATCGAGCAAGTTGACAGTATGGCTTCAGAAGACACAGAGCTGACTCAAATTAAGCAGGAAAAAGACATTTTGCAAAAAAAGCTTCATGCTGCTTTGTTAGCTAGGAAAGAAACAATTAAAAAGTCTCAAGAAAAGGAACGGAAACATGCAAATGAGTTGTCAGATCTAAAAGAAGAGTTCAACAAACTCATGGAGCAGTATTCTGAGCAAACTCATGAGCTTAATGCAATGCAGAAAAAGTATGATGAAAAGATAAAAGAGTCTGAAGATAACCTGCAGGTTATAGCATCACTCCAGAGTCAGTTGAGTTCCATCAGCAATGTTGTCAATGAAAAGGAAAAGGCTTTGCAAGAGTTTGACCTGCTACTCAAAGAACATGAGATGAGCGAACAAGCTGCCTTACAAAATCAAGGTGAATTAGAAACTCTTAAGAAGAAAATTGAAGTTATGACATCAGAGATGGCAGGTAAAGAAATTTTGCTACAAACAATCCAAGACCGTTCTAAAGTGTTAACTCAAAAAATTGAACAGATTGAACAGGAACTTGAAAAAGCACATTTCGAGATAAGGGAGAAGGCTGAAGAGCTAATGGTGCAGCAGCAAGCAATGAAGGTGGCCCAACAACAGTACCAACAAGAAAAGAAGTTAATGGCTGATGAGTCCAGTGAGCTGCAGAACCAATTAAGGACATGTCAAACAGAGATAGACCATCTTACAGTTGCCCTCGAGAATGTGAAAAGAGAAAAAGAATGCCAGTTAGAAGATTTAAGTAACGCAAATCAACTGCTTCTGGACACTACCAAAGACATTAAAGAAGAGCTTGAAAAGGCACATAAGATACATTCTGAAAAATTAAAAGAGCTTCAGGACATGAAGAATATTCTAGCAGAAACACAGCACAACTTTAGTCAAGAAAAGGAATGTTTAAAAGTTGAGCTGGAAAACTTGAGATCCTGCTGGAAAGTGTCTCAGGCTGAAACTGAAAACTGCAAATTACACATAGAAACATTGGAGAAAGAAAATGATGACTTATCTTCAGTTTTAGAAAGATTTAAAGGGGAAGTTGTTACCCTGGAGGAAAAACTCAACAAAACAAATAAACTAAAAGAAGACACGCTTGAGAAACTACTCGCCTTGGAAGCACAGAAGTCCAAAGAGGATTCTACCTTTGGGAAAGAGACGTTGTTAGCCTTGCAGTCCCAAAATCAAAACTTTGAAGCAAGACTGCAAGATAAAGAGGGCATTTTGCTCTCTCTTAAATTAACAATTTCTGAAAAAGATGATCTTATTGCTGCTTTGGAACAGCAACTACAGAAGGAGCTGCATCTTCATGAGGTTGAAAGGGAAAAGATGGAAATTGAAATTAATGAACTACAGCAAAAGTCCAATGCACGTCAGGTTAAAGAACAGTCAGAAGAAGGAAAATCTAATAATGAACAGATCACTAGAAAACTTCAGGCAGCTTTAATATCTCGCAAAGAAGCCCTAAAGGAGAACAGGACACTCAAAGAAAAAATCCAGTTGCTGTCTTCCGAAAAAGAAGACATAATGAATACAACTTTAAGCCTCGAGAGGTCAGCTGCTGAAATGAAAAGGCAAAAAGAAGACTTGGAGCTTTCCATGCTTTCTCTAAGCAAGGAAAAAGAAAAACTAGTTTTGGAAGTTGATCAGGTTTTAAGTGACAACCATAACCTTGCAGCTGCCTGCGAGAGCCTCAAACTCACAATTGAAAATATCACACAACAGAAACAAGCATTTTCATGTCAGTTAGAATCCTTGAAAGACTCCCAGACGGTCGAGTTATCAGAGTGGAAGTCAAAACACACAGAGCTAAAACAAGAATATGAATCTCTTTTACAAGCTTATGAAAACATCAGCAGTGAAATGGATAAAATGCGACAACTCATAGAGGCAGCTAGGAAGGAAAAACAGGAGGTTCTATCCAAATGGTATAAAACTGCATCTGAAAAGGAAATCCTAGAGAAACAAGTCGGTGAAGCTGAAGAGGAAAATGAGAAGTTGAAGGACAAGACGCGAAAGTTTGCTAAAGTAAAACAACAGAGGATCCTAGAGCTGGAGCAGGAGAATGAAAAAATCAAAAAAGAGCTACTTGAACTCAGTGAAAAGCAAGTGGGCAAAGCTGAAGAACTCAGTTCTAGGAACACTCAGCTTGAAGCAGAGAATAACAGATTAAAAGAAACATATGAAGAACTTTTGGTAAAGCTAAATGAAATGAAGTGCGCAAATCAAAAAGTGACTGAAGAACTTAAAGTTATGAGTGAGTCCTTGGCAAACTGCCACAGCGAGTATAAAGCTAAAGAAGCTGAAATGGAGCGGAAACTAGAAGAGACTCTTAGTTTAAATGATTTGTTAACTCTGGAGGTAGAAACTCAAAAGGCAGTTATATCGGCCAAATGCGAATGTCTGAATGTATTGGAAAAGGAAAAGTGTAATCTGTCTGATCAGTTAGCACAATTAATAAAAGACCATCAAGAAAAATTGGAACAAAAGGATAGTGCCTTAGCAGAACGTCAAGGAGTTATCAATAGAAATGTGCAGGAAACTATCAGTCTAAATGAAAAGGTGAGGATTTTAGAAGATGACAAGTCTCTACTTCAGGAAGAGCTTGAGAATGTGCAGGAGACATCTGACAAAGTGAAAAATGAAAATGAGTATCTAGAGACAGTGCTCCTTAAGAATGCTGAAAAAATTGATGAACTTACTGAAACTGTCAATACACTGCAAGTTCAAAATAAATCCTTGTCAGCTCAGCTCATAGAGATTAAGCAGGAAAAGAATGAGTTCTGCAGGCAGAAGGAAGATCAGCAGTTAAAATTAGTGAAGGAGTTTGAGGAGAAGCTCAGGGTTGCTCAGAGAGGGAGTGCCGGGTCAAAAAGCATAAATAAAGAGTTACAGGAGTTGCTAAAAGAAAAGCATCAAGAAATCAACCAACTTCAAAGTGATTGCATCAATTACCAGGAGGTGATATTAGACTTTGAAAGATCTGCAAAAGTGTTGCAGTCAGAACATAGTAAAGTGGAAAAAGAATTAAATGACACAAAAGAAAAGTTGTTAAATTTAGAGACCATAATTCAAAACCTTGAATCAGAAATAACATCGTATAAGAATCTACTGAATGAGTCAAGGAACGAGGTTGAGAAAGTGAATTCTGAAATTGTGAAGTTACATAATCAGCTTGCACAAAAAGACAAACTTGCTGAGCTTCAGTTGATGGAAAAAGAGAAGGAGTTGAAAGAACTCTTAGAGCAGCAAAATACCCTTCATAAAGAAATGTTAATGGAATTGGAGGCCAGAATTAATACATTGCAGCTAGAGAAAGAGAAGGATGAAGAGACAGTGTTTGAATTAAAGAAGCAAATTGAATCACAGGGCATAATGAACAGCAGACTTCAGAAAGAGGCAAACCTAAACTTGTCTAGGTTGGTAGCCGTTTCACAGAGTCTTCGAAATAATGATGAGGCAAGACAGTGGGAGGATAAATTTCAAAAACTGATTCAAGATAAAGACGGTCAACTGTTGGAACAGTCCCATGCAATCAGCAGACTTAAACAAGACATGAAAGTAAAGGATGCACTTCTTAATGAGCTTAAAGAGAAATTCTTAAAGTTAGAGACAGCTTTGAGTGAAACAGATACCCACTATAAAGCAGCAGCATCAGACTACCAGAAACAGGTAACCATAATGGAAGAGAATAACAAAGAACTTTCTAAAAACATTGAGGACTTAAGAAAACAAATTGGAGGGCAGAGTGACGATATTGAGAAATTACAGCAGGATAAGAGCTCATTGAACCTTAGACTTACAGACAAGTTAGATTATGTTTCCAAAATGGAAGCAAACCTCACAATGCTAGAGATGAAACTTTCTAATACTGAAGCCGAACTCTTCCTGGTTCGGTCTCAAAATGACAAATTGGTGGTTGACCTTGAGAAACAAGATGCCATCTCTGCTCAGCTGAAGTTGCTTCTTAAAAACAAAGATGCTGAGATTGCTTTGCTGCTGTCTTCTAGAGAAATCTCGGAGTATTTGGAAGAAGTTCAGAAACATCACTGGGCTGAGATTTTGGGCTACGAAGATAGGTTAAGTGCTCTTTATAGTGAGAGGGAAAATGCAGATAAGGCATTCAGAGGATTAGAAAGCAATGTGAAAAGCCTTCAAGAGAAATATGAAAAATCTCTTCAGGAGAAAGAACAAATGAATGCAAAACTGGAGAGCTTTAAGAAGGCAATGATGTCTTTGCAAAGTGACAGGGATCACTTGATGTCTAAATATGAGGTGTTACAGTCAAAGCTACAAAGTATTGAAAAAGAAAAAGAAATCTTAATTAAAGAGGAACTTGGTGAAACCAACAAACTCAAGCAAGAAATTAAGGCTCTACTTCATCAAATGGATGACTTGAATTCAGAAAATGCTATGCTGAAAGCACAGCTAATTCGCTACAGGGAAGATCTCAATCAAGTCTTGTCACTTAAGGATAACCAATTAAAAGAACTTCTGAAGCAACAACTGGATTCGATTAAAAACCTTGAAAATCAGAAAAATGCCATGGATAAAATGTATAAGGATGTTCTTCAGAACCTGGAGAAAGAGACAGAAACTACAAAATCCTTAGAAGCAAAAAACTCAGAATTAGGAATTCAGGTTCAGACTCTTGAAGCCAACATATTAGCCTTAAAAAAAGAGAGACAGGAACTCAATCAGAACAAGGTGATTGCAGACTTACAACAAGCTGTTGAAGTTAAAGCTGCAGAATGCAGTGAATTGCATCAAAAGCTTTTTGCACAGAAAAGCTCTGTTGAAGATCTTAAGAGAAACCTCCGTCAACTTGAAAGTGACATGGAAAAGAAAGTAAAAGAGACAAAGGAAAAGTATAATAATGAGATCAGTGCCTTTGAACGAGAGGTTGCCCTCATGAGAAGTATACGAGAAACAGCTGAGGAAAGAGTTGAAGAGCTCACAAGGGACTTGATACAGACAGAGCAATTATTGTCTGAAGCGAGGAGTCAAAGCAAGGAGCTTAAGTCTCACAATGAGTCTTTGGGGAAAGCCATGGTCGCTTTGCAAAATGACAGAGATCAGCTCATTGAAGACTTCAAGCTTTTGCGAAACAAGTATGATGAGGAGCTTAAAACGGCTTCTGCGGCGCTGAACAAGTTTGAGTTCCAGCTCAACAACATGACCTCGGAAGTGAAGATGTTAACTAAAGAAAGGTCTGCTCTGATTCAGAAACTTTCTGCCTTTGAGAGCGACAGCACTTACAGTCAGCTGATGGGGCAGGTAGATGATCTGTGTAAAACAGTGACTGAGAAAGAAGCTGAAATTAAAAGGCTTACCTTAGAAAATGAGACTTACAGTAAGCAGATGACTGCTTTTTCCAAATCGATGGCCAGTCTACAGGATGACAGAGACAGACTGATTCAACAGTTGGGAGGAACAAAACGGGTTTATGAATCCAGACAAAGAGAAAGTTCTGCTTCCTCATCAGTGAAAAGTGACAAAGAATTGGATGCCTTTAGGAGCAATTTTTCTGAGCTTCAGACTGAAAAGGGCAGTGTGGTAAGTTGGCATCACAATTTAGTTGTGTTAAAACCATTTCACTGAAAATCACTACACAGCATGGAGTCTGATGCTTTGCCATAACATTGAGTATGTTGCATGGTGGCAGGTGTTTTGTCTAGTTCTGTGGAATGCATGTTTGAAAAATTTAAGGTATAGCACAATTAACATACATTTCCTTTATTTTACATTCCAGGTAAAAGAAATGGGAAGCCAGAGGTTGGAAAATGTTGAGTTAACACAGATGAAGATACGAGTTGATGAGCTGCAGAAAGCACTGCAACAGGCGTATGCCTACAGACAGCAGACAGAGAAGGATATCCGTGCATACCAGTCAGAGCTCGGAGAACTAAGGTATCTTCTGGCTTTCAAGCTCAGCAGCAACACCAAGTGTTCGGCACAGTCTTTTTACTTCAGTCTTTGACTGCAGAGTAAATATAAGAAATTGCCTTACAGTTGATTTCCTATATTAAGAATCTCAACATTTCATTTTTTTCCTTCTAGTGTTGTTAATGTCATGTTATTTTATTGGAATTTAATTTAAGGTAACATACGTGCACATTATATACGTCTAATTTTTAGTCACAGAAGGAACAAAAATAAAATTATGAGAACAGCTGTTATTCTCCTCAGTGAGACACGTGGCTGGCAATAAAAGTTGTTTGAAGTTTAAATCTAATCATAGGATGTCAATGTGTCTGTTTTCGCATTCTTTGAGACAGTTGCTTTTTTTATATTCCAGAGTTGGTCAGAGTATTTCAGTTAGACCATATGGAATTTTATTAAAAAAAAACAGACTGTAGTACATTAAATAGATTATCTCAAAAGAATCAACTGGATGGGGGGATTCCTCTCCTGATCACTTATCTTATTAAACAGCAGCTTATTGTACAGCCGGGAGCGAGTCTGTAATTAACTCTCACCACTGTATATGCAGGCAGATATTGGAACAGAGTATGTCTTATAAGGACTGCATGCCATGTTACTGGTATGTCCCATTTGTTGTCAGAGTCACATTGAGACGAACAAACTGTGACTTAATCATAATCCCAGTGACACTTCATATGAACTATTTGCACAAAAGTAATTTACTATAAATAAGCTACATTCTTGACATTCTAATTGTATTGGAATAACAACTGGGAAATTCAGTTGGTAGTATGAATAAATTACAGTAAGTCTTTTAGTGATCAAGGCAGATGTAATTTGATACCTGATTTGCAGATATATGGCCTGAAGTACTCATGCATGGTCTTGTGCCCATACAAATACCATAGAAGTCTTTGTGGTTACACTGTACGGGTGGAGTTGTGGACAGTTGACAAAGCCTCATTTTGGAAGTTTAGTTATGCTGCCAAGAGTGTTGTAGGTTTTTTAATATACTAATGAAAATGATGATGCAGTTGGTAGTATATGAGACGTTACTTTCAAGGTTATCTCCTGTTATTTAAAAAAAGGAAAGGTTTTAGACCAGCCCATGATTACTCACTGTTGCTAAGTTTAGTATTGGTGATTTAAAGTGTTGGTATGTTTGGCATTTAGTACTGGCAGTTTATGCAGAGGTGTTGCCCGTGACTGTGTACACTATTATTTCTAGGACGTTTGACAGAATCCTCATAATTGCTTGCTTTTTGCCAAAGTTTGAGCTGTGTTTTTTTATATTTAGATCCGAGAAGAACCTGCTGCTCTCTGAATCTCGAGCTTTGAGACAGCAGCATTTGATGGTGGTGGCTGAAAAAGATCGACAGATCTCTGAACTGCAGAAACACCGCCCTGAAGCACTTGTAAAAGAATCCAAAAATGCCCCTTCACTTTATCCAGTTAAGGTAAAAAAATAATAGATTCATGTTTTTCAGGTTTTTTTTCAGTTTTTGTTCGCTGCATTGACAATTACTAAAGATTGATGAATTGAGATAGCAGTGACAGTGTTTTGGTTTGTTTCTCGTGTATATGGTGATGTTTTGCAGATGGAAAGTGTTACCCTGGCAGCAAAAGAGGCTTCTGCAGATCAAGTTACACAGCTGCTGAAAGAACGTGGCCAGCTTCAGAGTGACTTGCAGCGTTGCCTACAGGAGATTCACCAGAAAGACCTCCGCTTTCAGCAGCTGAACGCCAAGGCAAGACTAGAATGAGTTTTTGTTTTCTCTGACTTTTATAAGATTTCCTGTGTCCTCAAAGCTGCTGACAAATTTCACCAACTCAGACCTTTCATTAAACTTCTAACCTTCACCCTCGCTGTGGCATTTCCAAGATGTATTTCAGCATCTAATGTTATTATTCAGTAGTTAAATGTATTATTACTGCCGGTGCATTGGTGACGGCCCTAATCAAATTGGCTGTTCAAGGTGAAATTAGTGACTTGAAAATGGAAGATGTGATGTTCAAGAAAATCCTTGGTAATATACATCAGAAGATTTATATGCTCATGTTTTAAAGATATTTCCCTGCAACGGTAATTTCAGATGATGCAAACCATCGAAGAGAAAATGGGCTTGTCGATGCAGCTAAAAGCCGTTTCTCAAACTCTGCGCGAGACGCAGATGAATCTCAGCGAAGTTCAGAATCGCTGTTATTGGCTGGAGAGCCAGACACAAACACCAGCTGTACTGCCCTACCAGAACCCCGTTCAAGTGAGTAAAAGCATGATTTACATCTAAGTGAAGGTTCATATATCATAGTTTTAAAACATCTTAAACAAGCTTTGCTAGCTTAAGGGTTTTGTCCATATGCCGTACTCCTTCAGAAAAGGGTTTGGGTCTTGTGTCTCAGACACCGCCCGTTGAAACCTAGGTTCTTGTTGCTAGCTGACCCCAACCACTGCTGCACAGTTGCTAGTGTGGGGTGGACCTAAATCTGCCAGGGTCTTTTCAGTTTGTGGTGAAACAGTAATGTATGTGATTTGTTAGGCACCAGTGGGCTTCCAGCAGTGACTGAGGTGATCAGTGTCTCCCATGGCACTATTCTTCTGTAAAGCACTGGGGGTGCTACCCTCTAAATGGTGCAATGTCAGATTTGATAAATTCTCCGAGTTCCCACCTTGGAAGTCCCTGTTGACTCTGCTGACCTCTTCTCCTTTCCAGGGTGCAGCTGCTGTCGAGGTGCCTCCAGGGGCACCGCAGGAAAAGACCATGGTAGACATTGAAAGCCTGGATGGTAGTGAGCTGAGAAGGAGGTGAAACTTCCACTTTCATTGTACAATAAAAATATAGAATATTGTAAAATTTATTTAATGTAACTGGTCACAGACAGAAGCTTCTTTAACTTTCCTGGTATATAGGGTCACTCTACGGATCATGACTTTTAGCTGTTATTCCGAAATCACTGTTTGTGCATGCATGTGGTTTTGTTTTTTAAACACAAATTGGGGGAAAAAAGGTTTTTTATAAAGTAGTTCATTTTACTTGTTTGGTGAAACTTCATTCAATCTCCATACATCAAAAGATCGTGATGATGTTCTCTTGTGCTCTGTTTTTCTTTTCCACTAGGCTCATAGAAACAGAGCAGGCGTTGGATTCTACACAGCAGGACCTGTCCCACCTGGCAGAGGAGCTGTCTGAAGAGCGGGCCAGGCGCGAGGCAGCTGAAGAGGCTTTAGGACTGGTGGCGGAAAGTGATAAAAGGTTGACTGCTGTCTATTAGCCGGCCAGTTTCCTTCTGTTTAGCTTATGGGTTTTTTTTTCAGACTGCACACAGCTTATGGATGTGTAACAGATGAAAAGCCCATCTTGTTTTGCAGGCCAAAGAAAGCATTTGCTAACTCATATTTAACAACTGAAGGAACACCTGACCTGGTACTTGCAATAAAATGGTAGAATAAATACTGATTGGTAAGTGTTCAGTGTTGAGCAGGGTTAAAGACTAAGTTCTAATTTATTCTTATTTCCATTTCGTTTTAGTATTGATGCAAACATTTCTAGATCCACTCCAAGGGAATACAGCATTCAACTTGAATCAGATGAAGAGCACAGGGCACTTATTATAGACCCTGCTGAACATGTGGTAGTACGCAAGGTAGGTAAATTGCAGCCTGCATCTTTCCTAAGTGCTATCTAGCAACAAAAAGTATTAATTGATCTTCTGATACATGCAGCATCCTGCTTATCTGAAGTAAATAATTCTGGTGCAAAGGTTTACTTGTGGACACAAGGAGTTAAAAGAGAGAAGGCTACTTAGCAAAGAAGGATGGCTTTATTTACAATATTTGCAATATTGTCAAGTGTGAAGTCGGAAACATGTTTCTTCCTCAACAATGACTTTGTCTGAACTTTCTCCTCCAGATGAAAGGTGGAGCTCTCTCTGTTAAGAGATGGTTGAGGGGCCGCAGTCTGTACTGCTCTAAGCTGCTGACGACCAGAGCAAAATCGCGCTACGTTTTCCTCACATACCTGCTGGCATTACACGTTGTGGTCTTCATGTGCCTGACTGGACTACTGTAAACACTAACATTTCTCACCAAATACACTTGTGCTGCTGGAACCCAGTGTTTGATTCTTTGGTCTGAGCTTTGTGGGAGGAGTGAAGTGTTGTGAGGCAGGGATGTAACACATTCAGTAATAAAGCTGTCAATTTGTATTGATAGCAAAAGTAGTCAGTATAGTATGTCATAGTGTTAGAACAAATTTAAGTCGCGGTGTCAAGATTTACTTGGTAGAGTCAGGTTTTCTTCTCAGCTAATTTAAAGCTGTTTATGAAAGCTGCCTAAAAATTATTCTTTTATGAAAACTCCTGAATCTCCATTTCCATTTAAGCATCTGTTTTTCATTTCAATGTATCAACCACTCCAGAAGTAACCACTTTGCACTCCTCCCATACAGCTGAGTCTGAAAACTTAAATATTTGCTTCTGCTGTATTCAAAAACACTAAGGGTGTTGCTTGGAAATTGTGCCATGATGTCTTAGCTGCTGATTAAGCTATGCACTGAATTAACTGCTATATAGTTATTTGATAAAAACAATTCAGCAGGGTTTTCCTCTCAGAGTTTGTTATTTAAGGGTGTATGTACTGTATATCAGGTTCTTTCCCCTCGTATTGCAATTTTCTTTTTATGTTATGCGGTATTTATCATATTCAAATTGGTTACATAGAAATCACCTTTGAGTACATAAATGTATGCTGTACAATACAGCAGATTTGCTTCAGCTTCTGTGTTCCGTATAATGATGTGTATATATGGTTTGATTGAGAAGAATATTGAAGCTAACCAAACTACTGAGTGCATCAAAGATTACATATTTTCTATACAGGATCTATTTTTAAAAAATGTATCTGTTCGCGTACACTATTCACTTTGAAAGAATGTCCTATAGCCTTTTGATCTAATCAAGACGGCTGAAGTGTGCAATACAGTGCGATTTTTGGAGATGCTGTTGCATTCTGTTAATTTTAATAAAGGAATTTAAAAAATGTTTTTTTCTTGTGTTTATAAACTAAATTTGATGATCTCATGAAGTGTAGCAGTTTCTTGATATAGGGGTACCTGTCTCGTTCTTAATCGGTCTCTTCTGCTAAACCTTGAGAAACGTGATTCATCTCTACAGACATTTTTGCTGAAATGTTCTCAGTCTGCTTGTATACCACCACTTGACTAGCCCTTATTGTAAATTCTGACAGCCTTCTTCATATGAGGAGAAGATACTATTTTGGTTTTGTGACTGCTAACTATCTCAAGTTAAAATTTAAGTTAAAACTTAAAATTGCTGAAGTGAGCTGATGTCAAATTTCAAGGTTTTTTTGTACACTATTTTTTATATCTACTTTCATAGGATAGTAAAGGTCCTTTATGAAGACAAGATTCAGAATTGTCTTCATGCAGTTAAATCTGCTTCTCTGATTAAAAGGGTCCAAGATACAGATTTACAAATGTCATGATTATTAAGTAAACATTACACAGTTTTTGTAATGGTTTTTTTTTTACCATTTCATGTACTGTATATGTATTCACAAAAAGTTCTGAATGTTTTTTGTAATGTTGAAATGGAAAAGAGTCATTGAAGTTTTTCCATGATTCAATATTGAACCCAAGCGTTTTTTGTAGGTTGTCCTTGGATACTCTGGTCTCTTAACTCATCCAGATGAGAGATGTTTTTTTTTTTTGCAACACCCATTCAACCAATTAATCTAGCCTACTCTTATACTTAGTATTGGTCTTTTTACATTTATAAGCAATCACTGAGGAGAAACTGCCATCACATTTATGGTTCTTTTGGAATGGCTATGAGTGACTTAACATCACAATGGCCAACCCACTTCCACAATACTCCAGCTGCGGAATGACCATGCTTGCTCAATGAGTGATGCATTCGGAGTTATTTATAGCTTGCTGTGCTGAAAGATACTGAAATGCCTTTCAGTTAGACCGCAAGTGAACCAATTTTCCGTCCATAGGCTAGGGGCACCTGATGTAATAAATTACCTTCTAATATTAAAACCCTAAAAGCTTGTAGGCAACCTGTTCAGTGGGAAAGATTCCAGCTTGATGAGAAATCCTGTCCTAATTTATCGGAGGCGGCCTATCATTCACTTTTGTGACTTGTTAGCAAGGAAATGCTTCCTAAAATGGGCTGATGTTTTAATGGCATTCAATGGCCTCCTTCCCAAAACGGCTTCTATAAAAGTGGAGGCCAGGTGAAAGCACACTTACTTTATCAAAGGGAGCGCTAGCCGACTTCTGCCGTCTTCTCCAGCTTTTCTGGGTGAGTTCAACCATTCAGCCACTTTATACTACTATTAATCTCTTTTTTTCCCTTGGTATTTCTAGTTTGAAAGTCATGACACCAGCTGGTTACGTCATTGAATATTCCAGTTCAAGTTGTGCACAAATGAAGATTATGCCAGTGACGGCAAAAGCCATTGTACTAGTAACTTTTAGTGAAACTAAGCATTACTGTAACAAGCTTATCTTTGAATGTTATATATTATAGTTTAGAGCTAGTTTAGAACCTCTTGCACTATGCACTATGCACTAGCCACCAGATTTCTCAACTTGTGTATTACATTTTGTAAATGCCTGCAGATGGACAGATAGACAGTAACTGAAAATTGAATATGAGAAAAAAATCACGTTTGTGCATATGCAGGTAATGTGCAAGATTTCATAGGTGATACTGATTCCAAATTGGTCTTCTATGGCATTTAAAGTAGCTCTGAGGAGTGTATCCCTGTTTCTCTGAGAACATAGTTGTAAAACAACTGTATCGCACACTGTCTTTTTCTCCTCTGCCCTTGTGTTTTTAGAATAAAAACCTTTTTCACCTTTGGCTGTGATCTGACAGGTCGGCAAGGGCATAAAGAAATGTGTGACGAGGAAGAGACCACTGCTCTGGTGTGCGACAATGGCTCAGGACTCTGTAAAGCCGGCTTTGCTGGAGATGATGCTCCCAGGGCTGTCTTTCCCTCCATCGTGGGTCGTCCCCGCCACCAGGTCCAGCAGCGAGCTCAGTCTGGTTTCCGTGTCTGGTTTTAGTCCTGTTCTGACTGTGTTTTCTGACTGAATGTGTGTTCCAGACACATCTTCAGGAAGCTTTAAATAGCACTGCTAATGTGTTACACATCTCTGTAGATGCTTTTTAAGTCTTCTGGAGCTCCATAGTAGATAGTTCATAGATATGCAAATTTGTCTCCATATCAGTCTCCAGATCAACGATGTTTTTTTAGTGACATGCTCTGCAGGTTAAATCATGGACTGTTTTTTGACCCCCAGACAACAGTCGATGTGATTGAAAGAGGGTGGCCTTTGGTTTACAAATACTCTGTTCCTGCAGGAGTCAGAGGGCTTGATGTTTAACTAGATCATAGTGCAAGTCCTTATGCAGAGGTTGATCATATCATAATGACATAAATGATGATCAATATTTGAAAGTAATAATTTGATTTCTGATACTTTAATAGTGATCGTTAATCTGTCTTTAACATTATCATGCCTATCCAATCATTCCCAGCAACCCCTTTTTATGATCATAATTGTGGAAAAACAGCTTTCCACTGTTAATGACTGCATACCAGTCCAAAGCATTGTGCAACTCATTTGATGTCTTTATTCTCTGCTTGATAGAGAGTGCGACTTTTGCTATAGGACCTCCTTAATTCCTTGGTTGTGGTTTGGCAACATCATTAGCTCCTCTCTGTGACAGTGACTAGCTGATGTTTTTTATCATTTGGATTGATTCTGAGATTTACAGATACAGTATGGTATTTATCGATAGAAAATAAAACTATTTTAAGCAAAATGAAGGTAATTACTGTAAGTGCAAAGTGCAGCCGTGACGTATTGTACTGCAAAATGACTTGGGGAGAGTAAGTGAAGATGTGAGAATGAGGTTATATACTATAATCTGCTCCTGTTTGATCCTTTTATTGTTTGGAGAAATAACCCAGTGTTTTTGTCATTTTGTAATTCATATTTCATATTTCCAAACTCCAAAGAATGAAAATTAACAGGGATCTGACACAGTGTCTTGTTTTTTCATAATCACATAGGGTGTCATGGTCGGGATGGGACAGAAAGACAGTTACGTAGGAGACGAAGCCCAGAGTAAAAGAGGTATTCTCACTCTGAAATACCCCATCGAGCACGGCATTATCACCAACTGGGACGACATGGAGAAGGTACAGTAAATACTGACACTGCCTACATTAGCAGCGTTTTGAAGTGGACTCCCTAATCTAAAGCACTAAGTGAGTTACAGTATGTTATCAGATTTTTAAGAAATCCAAATAAAAACCATAACAACCTTTTCAACGGAATTCTCCATACTTACACTCTGCATACTTTATCATTTCTGATTGATGATCATAACCCGAAAGGACATAATATTCACCCTCCCCTCCGGCCCCTCCAAGAGCTGTCAGTGGAGAGCTCAGGGCTGTTTTAAAATGGTACTTGAAATTCCAAACACTCTTAATGTGACCTGCCACCTAGCAATGTGGGAAGTTTTAAAGCTCCAAACCAAAAACACAATCCTCTCACACAAATGTTTTTGTTCTTTTTATCCACAGATCTGGCACCATTCCTTCTACAATGAGCTCCGCGTGGCCCCAGAAGAACATCCAGTACTGCTGACTGAAGCCCCTCTAAACCCAAAAGCCAACAGAGAGAAAATGACACAGGTTGTTTTAGCTTCCTTTAATCTTAAAAAAGTTTGTCATATGCTTCCTACAACATCCTTTTAACCATTTGTGTATTGAATCCTGTCCTTTAATGGTCTTTACAGATTATGTTTGAGACCTTCAATGTTCCAGCAATGTATGTAGCAATCCAGGCTGTGCTTTCTCTGTATGCCTCCGGTCGTACCACTGGTAAGTTCAGTCAGGATATCTAAGACACAGCGAGTAAATGAAGAACCTGGGAAAGCCTTGAATTTTGGCTTTACTGTATTAGCTTTCAAAGTGTGAACAAACCGTGTCTGAAGAACGTTATGTTCTTTTACCTCAGATCTCCAGACATCTGATTCACACCTCAGAGACGTGTTCATTTGGCTTTTCAATTAATTAAACAATTATTCTTAATCCACCCTGAATCAGATTTTTTTCGGATGTTGTCTCCATCTGGGACCAGCCCAGCTAATGCACAGATATTTGGCTAACAGCACTTGTATTAGTGTAATCAAAGTCTTCAGAAACAAAAGCATCTACAGTATTTGTGGTTTGGGGTAGTTAGATAATTATCCCAGTGGTTCTCAGCTCTGTTCCTGAGAGACTCCTGTATCTGCTGGTTTTCATTTTCAATTTGGTCATTAATCATTGGTGCTAATTGATGGATGTAATTTATCAGCTTGGTTGTTTGGTTTTTTTCTGCACCCTGTCCTTATTTCAAATTGTTCACTATTCAAATCTAATGGGTTAGATTCCCGAAACCCTCTAATGAGCACAGGGTTCATATCAATTACAAATTTACATTCAGATTTTAAGAGCTAAGAGCAAGTTTAAAAAACATACATATAATACAAAATTTAAATCAATTTTCCTGTAATTAATAATTTGGCTGGATCAGAAACCAGATTATATAGCAGACCACTGGAACCAAGGTTAAGAACTAATGAATTTTCATGGAAACTACACCATGGAGTAAGGCATTAAGTACTGTATGAATATAAGTAGGGAATAGATTCCTATGGACAATAATAGTTTACACTTGCAGGCATTAACATCAACAATGACCATCAGTGGCTGTACAGGGCATTACAAGTGTACAAATGCTGATGTATCACTGTCTAGTGTGCACAGTCTTCGTGCACTGGAACATGTTCTCCTTTGCCCTATGTGCAAATTAATGCATTGCCCCATGCTGTACACTTGTGTCAAACTAATTATATCTTCTCTCTATACCTGTCCGTCAGAAATGATGGAAAGTAAAAGCATGTAACTAAATCATTCCAGGTATTGTGTTGGACTCTGGAGATGGAGTGACCCACAATGTGCCCATTTATGAAGGCTATGCCCTTCCTCATGCTATCATGAGATTGGATCTTGCTGGCAGGGACTTGACCGACTATCTCATGAAAATTCTCACAGAGAGAGGCTATTCTTTTGTCACCACAGGTAAGCTTTTTCTAATAATCTGGGATTTGAAAACGTTGACGCAATGCTGAATAAAGTTTCCAGTATCATACGGTGCCAAATTAAAGCAAAGTTGTTTTTAAAAAAGAAGAATATATAAAAAACAAAGAAAGAGAGCATTGCTACTTTATTTCTGACATACCCAACACACCCCAAAGTAAGAATGTACTAATCTCATGACCGGATAAGATTTGGCAGCTTTTGTTGGGAAGAGTCTTGTGACTGAATGATGTTGTATGCTATCCCTGGAAATGATGGCCTTTGTGCCTGTGGGTGGGAGGCTCTGCAGTTATTTTCAGTGAGATGGAAATGGTATCTTTAAAAGCATGTCCCTTGCATTTCAGCGCAGTGCAAGATGTTTTCAGATCAAAGTGAAATAAGGCTCCCGCAATGTCAAATCAGAACCTATGAAGCACATGAATGGAGTCCCTCTGTGAACACAATTTTACTCTACTGTAGTTAGTATTGCTACCTCACAGTGTGGGGGCTCAGGGTTCAATTCTAGAGCTGGGAAACTATCCGCGTGGAGTTTGCACGTTCTCCCCATGTCTGCATAGGTTTCCTCTGAGTGCTCCAGTTTCCTCCCACAGTCCAAAGACATACTGGTATGTTAATTGGCTTCAGGGAAAATTGACCCTGGTGTGACTGGGCGCTTGTACTGTATGTGTCTGTGTGTGACCTGCGATGGACTGCTCTTATCCAAAGCGACTTGCAATTAAATAATAACCTCTTCTGCTGTTGCCTGCTGCTTTTGAAGGAAATTGCTAACTATGCAAAACCTGTTGTCATTTTTCACTTTATTGACATAAAAAGAGCTGTACTGTATGTAAAAAGTGGCTCAGACATCCGCACCGTTAAAATTTCTCATCTCTCTGGAATGGGAGTAGAGTGTTGGGCAATGTTAGGAAAGGGCACACCCTGTTGGTGAAAGAAAACCATTGATTTGAAACCTAAGAGCAAAAAAACTGCAAATTTTATTAAATAAAATCAGAATTTAGCAGGTATACGGTCATTTATTGCTCATAAGATACATTTTGTACTGTGCTGTACACACACATTTAACATTTCTATCAGAGTGATAAGATAGGCATTTTTTTGGTTCTTTTGAATTCACTGTCCCTGCGTGAATTCCAAGAGAAACCTTTTTTCCCTGTGCCGAGCTCTGTTCTCTGCTGTTCTTCAGCGGAGCGTGAGATTGTCCGTGACATTAAGGAGAAGCTCTGCTACGTGGCCCTGGACTTTGAGAACGAAATGGCAACTGCAGCCTCCTCCTCCTCCCTGGAGAAGAGCTACGAGCTGCCCGACGGCCAGGTCATCACTATTGGAAATGAGAGGTTTCGCTGCCCTGAGACTCTCTTCCAGCCGTCCTTCATTGGTACGTCCACTAGCACACAGCACCTACAGCTGTGAAACTACCACCATTAACGAGATCCCTGAAAACAGTAACACGACGACCGAAACATCAGCAGATTACAGCCTCTGTGGTCATCTGAAAGATTATTTTTAAACCATATCAGAGCATTGTTTCACAGCAGTATTTCAGTGGAACACAGCAAAATAATATATCTATTTTTTTGTTTAACGTAAAATACCATATTCCAGTTTCAAGGCTCTTGAATAACCTACTCTAGTGGTCTGTTAATGGTAAAAAGCTCAGCTGCTGATGGAACTCCTGAGTAGTTAGGTGGCAGATCTCAGGGTGCTTGTTTGGAGAGTATTTTGAGTCTTATTATTCAGACTTCAAAAGTTTAAGATTAGAATTTATCATTAGCAGCCTGTTAGGGATTTCCCAGAAATAGACAGCAAGTGGATGGTCTGCTGCCTGCCAGAATAAACTCAGTTTGTTGTGAAATAGAGATCCCTGTTAAATGCCAGATGGCTATAGTATTGTCAGTGCAATCAGTGTTTCTTTTTACTAGATGCAATACTTAAAACAGTATTGTATTGTAACAAATACCGCTACTCATAGGGGGTTAAGAATATAGGAAAACAGCACAGAATGAACAACAGCAGTGCATCTCCGCGACCTGTGTTTTGATGTCACTGCAATTCCAGACTGCTAGCCCAGTAACGTGAAGACTATATAACTGGCCATCAAGACAGGTAAACCCGTGTTCTATCTAAAACAATGTGACCCAGAGCTATCTCTCCATTCCAAAATGCATCACTAACTTGAAGTGAATGTCTGTAATCCATTAGATCATTCCAAAAATAAGAAATTCAGAATTTTGGACTGAAAGCTGTCTGAAACAAGGTTCAAATAAGATAAGATCACTTTATTGGCCATATACAATTTCTTGCATTAGGAATTTGTCTTTTCGCATACTCAGCTTGCTCTCCATGAGACACACAGACAGGGAAAGAGGCCTGGGGTCAGAGCACAGGGTCAGCCATTTCTACGGCACCCCAGCGGAGTAGGATTCCTCTACCAGCCGCAGGATTTGAACTGGAAACCTTCCAGCCACAGTGTCACTGCTCCGCTATAAGTACTTACTGTAGCTAGAATTGGTTTTAAGATGAATCAGAACAAGGTCCTCTCACGTGCCTCACTGCTCTCTCTCTGTCCCCTCTCTTGCTTCCATTCTTTTCTGGGTGTTGATTGTTCACTCTTATTATGATAAACTAGAGTCATTCTCCAAAAATCCCCTTTGATTCTCTGTGGCTTCTGGTGCTACAGCTGGGTAAATAACCCATTGTTTCTAGACCCTAAAAGCTGCAAACATGAGCTTTTTATAACCCTTGTCACAATACGCTACAATGAAAACTGAAAGCTGTGGAATGCCACCTTGTGGCAATTGTACTTATTTCAGATTAACAACAGAACAATGGTAGTAATGGTACAGTATATAGTGTATAGGACTTGTCTTGCACTGCTGTTAAGCTTTAATTTTATATCTATTGCATTAACAGGTATGGAATCTGCAGGTATTCATGAGACCACATACAATGGCATCATGAAATGTGATATTGACATTCGAAAGGATCTCTATGCCAACAATGTGCTGTCTGGTGGAACTACAATGTACCCAGGCATCGGTGATCGAATGCAGAAAGAGATAACAGCCTTGGCTCCAAGTACTATGAAAATCAAGGTATGAAGAATAATCCATTCTTCTTGCTTCGGGTCTGTCCCACTTGGATGATATCACATGTGCTAACCATTCTCTACTTTTTTTCTGAGTCATAAACAGTATACTGTGTTACCTAGTATAATTGATTGATTTGGTTTGCAAGAAAAATATTTTGGAAAATCTTACTTTATAGTATGTCAGCAAAGGGACACACATCTTTAAGCAGTTTAGGTCCTAGTTTAAGTGTATATTATGTTTGGTCAAAAAATATAAAGATATCACTTTTTTGGGGATAACTGCATAACATATGAAGACAGCCAGGTAATTTACTGCATAATGTGTGGTAATTTCTGAAGAAGATAGCATTCTATTCCTGTTCTTTTTCCTTTATCTCTTAGCAGCAAAGCTTTATGTGAGGCAACAGGGATTTAGAATTCTTTTCATCCCATCCAACTGTTCTTTGTCAGGCAGCTTTTATAAAAATTTGTGTTATGTTCCTCCCTCAAAAATCTAGGGATTAGATATAGTTCCACCAGGGTAATCACAGTGCAGCTAAACAACAATGTACTTTTGACTCTCCAGCACAAGTGCTAGGAGATGATTGTATTGAGGATTTAAATAGAAACATTGCTGCTGGTTATGTTTGCAAGAGGAAGCTGTGGACAGCATCCAAGCAAGCAGCAAATTGCTCCAGTTGTTTCAGATTTTTTTTTATCTCCTAAGCTGTTTTTATTTTTGGTTCACTGGTATCCATTAATAGCTTCCAATAAATTGTTTTATAAATTCTTAACTAGGCATAGACAGAAAAAATAGACAGGAATGGTTTTCTGCAGAGGGCAGAGTTTTACTGTAGAGGGCCCTCTCACAGTACTCGGTGTACATTGTTTAGCTGTCATATGCTCTGTGGCTGCACAGTTTAGCAGAGCCAGATTCTGTCTGACTCTTGTAAAGTTTTTTGTTTGTTTTAAAGAGGGCTGGTTTAAAGGATGCCATGCATTTCGATCTGTAACAGTACCAACTCTTGTAGTTTAGGCCAGCAACATACTGTAGAGGAGAAGGTGTCATGACTTAGGTGCAAGGAACTTATTCAAAATTACATACTAAATAATAAGTAATAAAAGTCCCCAAATAACTTTCATTTATTTTGTACCCTATTTGTTTGCAGTTTAGATTTTTCTATGTATGCACAAAAGTCTAGAACAAAAAAAAATGATCTTAGGAACTCTTATGAGGCCGCACACTGCAGCCAAATGCTCAGCCAATTGGACTGGATGAAAAAATCAGGAGGATTTGGACATGTGACCAGATTTCTTTCCCCAGAGTCTATTTTAGTGCCCCATCTGCAATAAAACACCACCCAAGATGAGCCTTTCTCCATCGGTTTAAGCATTTTAATGTGCAACTGACATGTTGAAAGCAAAAACAATTTCCCTTTTTTGAAGGAAAGAGCCATCTGTGTGCTCCCACTTAACGGTAATATGCCAATCATCTTAACTGAGGACGTTGCAAACAGAATATGCCAAAATGTAACAGATTTATTTATACTGTGTGTACATAAAAAATCAGTGGATGGAAATGGAGCATTACAAATTGTTACATACTGTAGGAAATGAGACCAGTGTAATGTGCATACTACAATGAGCACATCAAACCCTTTGTGTTTAAACAGAAAGATAATATCCCATACAATGGTGGAGGAAAAATAAAGAAAATATGGATGTTCTAGTTCATAGAAAATAAGACTTAAAATAGGAAAGGTAGTATTCTACTGTAAAGAAACCTAAGTGTTGTCTCACAACTGGAAGAGGGCCCTGGTGGACTGGTACACAGAATCACTTTGTGCTGCTTCTGGGAGAAACCTGGTCACTTTTGGCCAGTGACAGAACAGGGCTCTGAAGGCTCAACCAGCTTTCAGAGTGAACACCTTTACTGGCTACGCTACTCAAGAGTGAGAGAGTCTTACAGGGGTTGGAGTCTGGTGAGTGGTGAGGTCTTGGCAGTGTTGTAAAGACACATGGTAAAGCAGAATGAGAATAATTGCTTAGCATTGGACATGCGTCACAGAAGCCTTCTCTTCTTTAGATGATTGCCCCTCCTGAGCGCAAGTACTCCGTCTGGATCGGGGGGTCCATCTTGGCCTCTCTCTCCACCTTCCAACAGATGTGGATCAGCAAAGATGAATATGAAGAAGCTGGTCCTTCTATCGTCCATCGGAAATGTTTTTAAGGTGTCTCTTTTCATGGCTAAATATACCCTCGCTGAAGTTCTGGTCTCAAGCAATTTTATTTTATGTTTCTAAAAGTTGTGGCCTCACAAAATGTTACGTAAACAGGGGTCAATTACTGATAACTCTTTGGTCAAAGTGGTTATTCTCCAGCAGTGTTGTGTTCAGAATCTGACAAATTGCATGTCTCCCACAGTAAATTATAGTTTTAAAAATGAATGTTGCATTGCATCTCTTTTGTAACAGCCCTGGCTGGAACTCCACATAAAGCTGAAAAAGCTTTACAGTATATTGGATAGAGAGACAGCCTTTTCTGATAAACTGGATTATTAATGTACTACATAAAAGGAGCTGCTTGTTTTTCAGGAACAAAGCTTTAATGAAGCAGATCAAGGCTCTCCTGGACTGGAGGTTTTCTTCTGGGTTTACTGTCATCAATCCTGGATAAAGATCATGTTAATCTAAGATCTTAACCTAATAGTATTAGTATTAAATAAAACACAGTAAAGGTAGCCATCATGAGGAGGTCATTTGGACCATCTAGCTCCTTTGGTTACTAGCAGCCACCTGATGCAAAGAAAACTAAGCTTTAAAAGGATCTTTAAAAGGATGTTTTAGGTGTTCAGCTTCAGCAACATGGCTGGGTAACTTGTTCCGAACAGTGTTAGTAATAGTCTCCATGCTGTATGCCAGAATCAGGGCAGTAGTTATAGAAAACACATTGAAAATGATCATCTCAAGGTTTCCTCACTTTGATTACTTGCAGTACATGGTGCTTCTGAGCTCTTGTGTGCCATGGGGATATACAGTACACTGGTCCCATTGTCTTTATCACTTCATACATGTCTTACCTGACACCATATGAATAAATTATATTAATCATTTCAGTAATGTGGAAGAAAAGGCATATTATAACCTCCAAATGACCCAAAACCCTCCATTTTATCTAGATTTCTGATTCTTTTTTTAGCTACAGTGTGATTTCTCATGAATGCACATTTTACTTGCACAAATCACTTGCAGATCCTCCCCTTTTGTTTGTACTTCTTTAAACAGGGACTTTAAGGCAGATAAATCTCTGAAGCCAAAGTTCCATTAAGCCACATTTACATTAAGCAGTGTTTGTAAAATGCTTTCATAAATCTGGTAAACCACAGACTGGTAAAATTAAGCTTTTGAACTAATGACAATACCCTTTATATTGTGGAACATGTGCTGTGCTATTAAACCTATGGTCCCATTCAAGCAGTTGCCCACCAAGCATCTAAAGTGTACAAAACAAATAAATTACCTTTCAGCCACATGATTAAATCCTTATAACATTGTTTGGCGAGTGCTGTTTTTTTATATATTGCTCTTGAATTGTACGACTTAGTGCAACTCCCATGGGACACAGGGAAATGCTGTTTCATCATCCAAGTTCCATAGTAACAAGTCCCACAGGTACTCTACTTACTACTTATTAACCAGCATGGAGATAAATTAAACTGACAACCAATTGCATCTGATACTTACTCTGCTGCATTTGTGTCTTAATAAAATCTAGTTCTTCCAAAAAGATAGTACCTTGTGGTGTCATGGTACTAAATCAGCTACAGACGTTTTTTTCCCATTTCTGTCTTTGAGCAGCACTTTTGTTTGGATTCATATTTTACTTGACTAATTAAGTGGACAGTTATGGGGATTTACCATGTCAGAAATGCTAACAGAGAATAAAAAGTCCAATTATTGACCTTTCCTTCTGATTGGGTGTAATTAGGCTTTCTAAATTATACTGTACTGCAAGGACACACATTATTTATTTTGAGAGTTATGTGTATTATGTACTGCTTCTGTCTCCTACGGACACACATTTAAAAATATCCATAGGCCTAGTCTGAGTATAAAAGGCTCTTCCCAGAGCAAAAGATAAATACTATTGTACCTACATCCGGTGCGTGCAATCACTCAACCTAAATTATGGTTTAAACACTACAGTTTTTCTTAATGTACTGTACATTATTATTTATCTTGGTTTACCACTGTAAGTATTTAAAAACTAGCAGTAAATTGCTTACAAATATAAATTGCTTGTTATTATATATGGTTTATTGTTTATTTAAGTTCAGTTGTGTTAGTTTATGGAGTCTCCCTCTTCAAGGAGACCACTTGAAGCTATAGTATATACTGTAGGTGAATATATTCTGGACCTGACATAAATCCTAACTTACAATAGATTTAGATCTTTGCTTTGTATGATTTCCTGCAAGTAGTCTTTTGAAATTCAAATGTGGAAGCAGCAACACCCAGATCCAATCTGAGACAGATCATCTTTCTCCTTATTTTTTTGTGTGCTTGTTTATTCTTTTTATTTATTCTTGCTTGTTGTCCAAGTATGTATTTGTTTTTTCCTGAGGGATTTTGAGAGTGTAGTTGGATTGAACATAAGGGAAAGATACAAGAGGAAACCAAATGGCCAGTCTTTCTCATTTAGTTACTGGTAGCTAATTGACTCTGATGAACTTCAACTTCAACAACATGCTGGAGAAACTGAGTTCACAGTCCACCTTCCTGAGTGTTAAGTACTTTATAATTTCAGTTCTGTGTTTCTTACTGTATGTCTCATTTTCTCTTAATGGGTGGCCGGACAGTCTGCTGAGGTGCCCAAGAGGAAAGGTGACGCTATTTTTCGGGCTAGTGTATTGTGCTTTCAAAACCACTAGATGGCGGGATTGAACTATGAAGAAACGTCTTTCTTTGCGCTTTGTGACATCACAGCTTTTAGCAGCCACAAACCTCCTTAAGCATCACAGTGGATTTTGGCATTAAGTGGAGTGGGAATTCAACAAAATATCCTTGAAAATGTATTTTTTCCCTAAATACTAAAGCAGCACGTGCACCCAAATAAAGTGTAAACAATGTTTGCATAATGTAAGAGCCATTGAATTAATTAACTTCTTTTTCATGTTAAGCCTCAATTGACTTTCATTTCCTTTTAGAAAAATAAGAAGAAATAACATTGATTAGGATTTTTGTTGATGAGGAACGATGAATTTTATCCACAGACCTTGAAATGCTCTGCTAAAAGATCTGCACTTTTTAAAAAGAAAACCTCCTCTCCAATATTAAGTTTTAATGGAAACCTAGACACCAAAAAATATGAATAAGGTGGCATCCAGGAAATTATCCATGAATTAAACTCTAACGTTTACTCAATGAACAAATTATCTTACAGAGGTGTTTGCCTTTTATTATTCAAAGTTAACTCAAACAGTGCATTTGACAAAGGATCATCAAGAATTTGTGCTTATGTAGTTCATGTATTACTGACATGTCCCGTGATGTAATCTAATGTACACTTTAAAAATAAAAAATTCCCCTTTCTGTTATAATGAAATACATCAGTAAGCACATAAAAACGTTTATAAAAATAGAGAACATAATTTGCTGTCTTTAAGAGTCCTAGAACACACAGAGTTCTCTTCCTAAGAACTACAGTATCCTGTCCTTTTTCTATGTTTCTTATCTTAAACATTCTGGGAATGTACTTGATGACTGATAGGTCAACTTCTTTGTCTTTGACAATACACCTAGTCCACAGCATCAGAAGCTGCAGACGTTTGGAAAACTAAGTCATGCCCTATTTTGGTGATCAGATGAAGAAAGCAGGGCATTGCTCTGTATCTAGGACAGAGGAAGGATTCTTTCATTTAACCTCATCTTTCCCTGTTCATTCTTTTGAGCCTGAACAAAATCTAGTTTTCTAGGTTGGTCAATGGTAATGAAAGTTAAATTTTACTTTGTGACAATGAACCCACCCTGAAGAAATTGAAATATTTGGAAATCGGACTGATCTAATCCCCTTAATAGCTAATAGAGTTGTTTTTGGAATGATTATAAACTGAAAACATAGTCATTTTTCATTGTTCTGCTTTATGTCCTGTGTCCTGTGCCTTTATAGAGTGCTTTGAAATAAATCAAATGACTTTTTATGAAGTGTCAGATTACATTTTATTATACGGAATGGCCGAATCACTACTTGTTACAAGTGGCAACTTAGGCTGCATGCTTTTAGTTTTATAGTTCTGTGTAGTGAAAAATTGGCCACTTTTCTAAACTAAAAATAAATAAATTAATTTTCTAATTAGGAATACATGCACGATTAAGAATTCTAATGTGCATGTACATATGGCAATAAACTACTCTACCCTACTTCTATACGTGAGTTTGCATTTGTGTACTGTATAATGTCTCTTTTAACAAAATATTGTCTTACAATAAACCCAGTGGTGTAAAATAATTCTCTAGTACCTTATAGCAGAGTAGTGATACAGTAACTAATTTGGGAAAACAAAGTGTGAGAGCCCTGGTATCTGTTTGACATCCTGTATATACAGTATGTCACATATATATGAAGTCAGGGGTTTCCAAATCCATCTCTGTATGTTCTGTAAATATTACAGGTGTTTCTGGACATCTAAAAAAATAATATTAATGTTGATTTAGGGCTTTCTGTTGATTGATTGGATCAGATGGGAAGAAAGGTAGTACAAGTACATTAAATAGATAATCAAGTTATGTGCATTTGTCATCATTATGCTCCTAGGCTGTCCTGCTATTACAGCAATTACTGCTATTTCTGCTTTCTGTCGCGTCGTCCCTGACCACTAACATTCTCCGAAGGGATCCGCTTCACTTTGCATGACTTTCTCAGATCAAGTTTTTCTGTATACCTTTTTACCCTGTTAACAAAGAAGCCAAAGTCCTGGGTAACTTTCCCTTCTCTCCTGGGAATCTGCCCGCTCAGTATCAGTGTTGCCTTTTAATGCTTATAGTATTAACTGTGATTGTCCATTTTGGAGTTCCCTTTTAACATCATCCAGAAAAAGAATAGCTCCTACACTCCCACACCATTTGTTTTTACTCTTGATCTCAAAGAGGACAAGAATACAATTTTGCTTACAAATTCACAGCACTTGAAAAACATTATAAAAAAGGGTAAAAAAGTCCTCCTTGATGGAACTTTATAGAGTGTAGACATGCGGTCTGTCTGGTAAGAGTGAAAGGGGAAAAGTTATATCATTACTTGCTCAGTGTGTGGTCTTGAGAATGCTTTCTATTCTCTTCTGGCACAAAAGCCTTCCAGGGTGCCTGGCATAAAATACTACAGTAGCTACTGGAACTGCTTTACATTAGAAGGAGCACAGCAAGCCACAACTTCAGCTTAACATGAACCAAAACAGATTGACACTGCAGGACCTTGAGGTGAAAGATGTTCAGTCCTGAAGCTGTGTGCAATTAAGAGGTTTATCTTCATGGTGATCTTTACTTTAGCAGCTTACGAAAAGTGATTTTTAAAAACTGTCCGCATGAAAACTGAAATGTGAACAGCTGCATGCCTGTACTGGAACCTTGACAAGGCTTGGGTGGTGCACAAATATGCTTTTCTGTTTTTTAAATATGGAAAGAAGTCCTTATCTATTGTTTCTCACATTTACATAGACATTTTTCTATCTACACATATAAAAACACACAGCAGCAAAAATTCAGATCTAATCTCTTGTGGTTGACTCAGTGGCAAGCAATAAAAAGCAATATACTCGTGTGGGTAAGAAAAAGTGATGCTGTGTCAGCATGTGGAATAAACTAACTAAATTAATAAAGGTAATGCTAGGATTGTGAGATATAAACTAGAATTTTAAAAGATGACCATATTGATATTTGAAATGGGGGACTGTTTTAGAAGATCTACTGTATACCACCCTCGACCTTAACCCCTTAGAAACACCTTTCCTCCCCTGTGTATTGATACAGAATACTGTACTGACTAAATTCTAGTTGCAGATAACCTGGTATCTCAGAATTTCCATCATATATTGAATTCTATACTGTATGTCCTGCAGGAGTATGAGCACTTAAACTTCACCTGAGCTTCAGATGATGTCCCAGGGACATGTTTCTTTGGGCATTGAGGAGAACATTTTTCTTGTGCCTACATGAAGCTCACTTCAAGGGTATGATACCAAACTTAGTCCTGCAGCTGCTGTTGACCTACTTTCTTTTCACAAAGATCCAAAGACAAATGAAGGTGAAAACATCAGGGAGGTTGCCATGATTAATTGGCTTTCTCTACCTTTCCCATGAAACCAGGAGCAGTGGAAAAAAAATACACAAACTGGGACACCTTTTCCTTCTCTGTGCTGAAATTGAAGGAGCCATCTGGTTCACAGGCTTGTAATCGTCACTCATTTGACACAGTTAAGGTTATGTAGCAATCCATTGATTAGCCGGATACAGAGAGATCTTAGGAGATATCTGTAATTCATTTAACTTCTGTCCATTCAGA